GAGGCATTTATTTAAAACAAGTGGTAAATTATAATGTAAAGTTTGTAAGTAGTAGTTTGTGCGGGAACAAAGGAGGACCTATGCTTCGCTGCGGCATATGTTGACATCACTGCTATGCCGTACAAGCTCAGAAATAGTGAATAAGAAATCAATGAATAGTGCAGAGCAGAAACGAATAGAACAAAGCAAACGACACTCATTCATGCGTTCAACCGGAATCATTTGATATTTTAAAACTAAAGGGTCTGTGTGGTCTGTTTAGGAAATATCAGCAATATACCGTATTATATTGTATCTTAATAACATCCCAATGTTATTAAAATCTCTAACATGTAATTGAGAAATACATCACTAGTTTAAGTCTAGCATCAAATGCTAAGTTCGCACTAACACGGATTTAGAGGGGGCTATTCGACAACGACACTTTTACTTAGACTTCATGATTTTGCTTCCGAAATCAATAAAAACAAACAGGTTCAGATGATATTTCTGGATTTGGCCAAAGCTTTTGATGTGGTCTCTCATAGTAAACTTTTACAAAAGCTTTATACTATGTTAAAAAAATGACCAATACATAAATTGGGAAAAACACATTCCTGAGAACAAGCTTCAATCTCGTTTCTTCTGGCGGTTCTGTTTCTAATAGACGGAGTGTCACATCTCGTGTACCGCAAGATTTTTTTTTACCGCTATCTTTTTTACTGTTTATCGGTGAATTATGTTCACTTATTAACGTAAACATCGAAATGTTTGCTGATGATTGTGTTCTATATTGTATCCTTGATTCTCCTGATGACCAGCGTAAAGTACACATGTGTCTCGTTCAAGAGGCACTGGCGGCGTATTTATGCTCGCCAAGGTTTTTACCTTTATTCGTGACATATGAGAGCCCAGCGACCCAGAACACAATTTGCGGCTAGAAATTTGTTTTTCTTTTCCGCCCTAAAACCGCCGATCGAGAACTGGCCGTTGTGAGTCGCGCTCACTCTGTTCTCTGTGCTCACGTGCCGTGTCCTATGGGTTAGACACAACCACCAAATATGATCAAAGTCATTGGTAATCAAAAGCATACGCTCAATATTAAAAATAAAACACAAATATAATATTTATTTTTGTGGGTTTTAAAAAGCCGCAAATACGTTCATTGAAGAGGGGAAAAAAAGGCACAGGCGATGTGACTTCCGCCAACTCTCTCCTCTATATTTCTTCGTCCTCGCCAGTCCCGTTTCGGTTTCAGTTTCGAGAAGTTCCGTTTTTCTTACTGTACTAAAATATACGCGACGCTGTAGCAAAATATAGATTGGGTTCTCTGCTGACACCACAATGAACCGCCGGGCAAAAAACAAAACAAAAAGTTTGCTGGGTTCAGTGTCTCTTTAAAACATTGATTTATAAGTCATAAGACTTATAAGACTTATAAAACATAACACTGACTTATAAACATATAGAGCAGATTTGTAGGAATGTTATTCTTGATATTTTTAATGATGAGCGTAAATTTCGAAAGTGTGTTGAGACTATTGTTTCTTGTTTAACATTTCGCTTTTATCCTGTTGAAAATTTAACTACTAATTGACTTATTCATAAGTGTAACACTAAGGAGGTGTTAAGCTGTCGGTGGGTCACACAAAATAAAAAAAAAAATTTAAATATAAAATAAAAAAAAATAAAAATCGCCAGCTGGTGCAGGACCTAGCAGATGAATTTGAACCACTCCAAGTGCCTAACTCTGTCCATAGCACCAAAGAGATTACATTTCCTTTTCAGTTACAGCGTAGACTGACATACACTTTGAAGTGCCTCATAGTGTGGGTATTTGGGAGTCACCATTAGCAATAACTTGGTCTGGAACTCCCACATTACTTCTGTTATTTCAAAGGCTACAAACAAATTTTGGAAACTAACACGATGACTGAAATTGAGAACACTTGAAGTTAAATTACGAGCATATAAAACCATAATTATAACCACACTGGAATATGCACGAGTCGTATGGGACCCCGATACACAGCCATCAATATATATAAATTGGAGATAAAGAAAGGCACTGAGATTTATTTTGAATAATTATGGACGGTACATTTTGATGAAATTATTTTAAAAAAACGAACAGGCCTGGCTTCACTTTTGCACCGCGCAAAAATTGACAAGTAAAAATCCCTCAGATAATTACGGACAGCCTTCATATCAAGAAAGACTACATATTTGGCTTTTTCACCAGAACTAATTCTAGAGCTTCACACTCAAGATATAGAAACAATTTACAGACTCGCATAAAATCCATAAAAAAAAAAAAAAACTAATTTTTTCCTCGGACTGTATCCGACCGGAGTAATCTTCACTCCCGCTGGCCTAATTCAGATTCACTTGAAAACTTCATGCACCGGCTGGCTACCCCCGAGCAAGTGACTTGCATCATCATATCGAAATATTTTCATTTACACATTTTGTAACCTTCTCCTACGATACCTCTGTACCGGGGTAGTAGTATAGTGAAATAAATGAACAAATAAATATGAAAAGGCACTTTTTCTCAGTCATGCAGGTGTCAGTATAGTTAAGCTTGCTTTTAGTGGCAGCCATAATCCACTTACCAAAAAGGATTCCCCTGCCTGAGTTAATTTTAGTTTTTTTCAATAGAAATGTTTATATTATTATTAGTGCTCTACATCTGGACAGAAAATAATCCATCCTAATTCTACTAAACATGCTATGTGTGATAGACAATCTATTTTTCTAATTGTTTTGTTTTATTGAACTTGTCACGTTGAGGTATTAAAGTAAAGAAACACGAGATCCTAAAAAATCTCTCCTCTTCATGGAGAGCTTCGGTTATCACTATTTCTTTAAATAAAAAAATTCTTGATGTAAACATAATTATGTACCTTGTACTGTTAAAAGTAGTACAAATCAAAAAAAAATTAAATTTGTATTAATTGTACGGTTACCTCTCGGCATCGTTCCTAAAGTAAAAGTATGGAGTAAAAACCTCATCATACAGCCTTAGAATCCTTCTGTGTAAAGACGCCTCTTACAATATCTACAAACACTGTCCACCATTAATATGCACCAATAGATTCAAGTCTAAAGCGAGTCAAGAGGCCTTCACAAAAGTACAGGGATAGTGGAGAAGAGCCGGTGGACATTAATCATGTTAAAAATCGCCCGAGACTGTGACAAATGATGGGAAACCTTGTAGGGTGAAAAAGGACACTAAAACAAAACAAAAACGTTTTGATATATCCTTTTACGTCTACTAAATATCCCATATTTTACCAAAGAAAAAGCCTGTAAGCATACCGTCTGACTCTTCGTGAGGTGAAGTGTCACGAAGAGTCAGGCGGTATTCGTGAGGTGAAGTCACTTAGGCTTAGTTTTACTCCTGCATATTTGGTCCAGAATTCATTAAAAAATGCGGTGCATCGAATTTTATTTTTGGCCAATAAACTTTGGGAATTCGTACGGGTGACGTTTTTAACAAAAAAACACAATTATTTTCAGATTAATTCAGTTAGCGTGTTTGTTTTATTATTTCTTTTGTCAGTCACTTTCTTTTCCTCGCAGAAGTATTATTTGTTTTAATTTAACAAAACGAGACAAATTGACGATCGAGGTTCCATTCAACTACCATCCCTAGAACGCGTCTCCGACCGGTGTGATATGTGATAACCTCGTACAAAAAAGTGGGGATTCGATTTCTGCCTTAAAACATGATAGAAGTGCGACGCTGCCGCCGGTCGCGGTCCTGGCGGCGTCCCAGCAACGGTGGCGGACGTGACAGTCGCCTGTTCTGTCGCAGTTCGCTCTCCAGTGTGACAGTCTACACATAAGCCGGGACTTTTAGCGCCAATCGCAAGGATCGCCACAAGCCACAGCGTGACATTCCAGCTTTTGTGACGTCATTTGCTGGAACTTCGGGGCCAGCTTTGATGTGTGGGCGGGGTAGGACGCTGTACGTTCCAGCAAGGGCGGTTCTAGGCACTGGACCGTCTTTGGAGTGATGGCACTGGGATTACCACGTCGCTTCCTTGTTCGGGAGTCCCCGGCGCTTTCTCTACGATAGTCTAATTTTTGCGGATTAGCATCAGGGAAGTTCTCGAAGAGCGATCGAAATTAAAAACGGTTCGCCGCGGGGTTGATGGCGGGTCTAGCAGCAGTCTCAATGACGTGACACTGTGGTTCCGGCCAGACGTGTTTGCAAAAAAAAAAAAAAAAAAAAAAAAACAAGTGCGTTTTTTTTTTGCGTTTACTTAGTGTATTTGCATTGTTTCGAAGAAAGGTTGTACGTTTTGTTTTACTTTTAGGAAGTTAAAAAATAAAACATAGAAGCCGCAAATCTTCCCAACACTAAAATTGGTACACTACTTCTTGAAAGACATGTTTGATAGGGAAAAACAAAAGAATAAAAAAAATTATTTCTTCAGCAGAGTTGCTGGTTTGTTCCTCTGTCGCAATCTATGGTCACCGGCGAGTTTTAAAATAGGGTAGTCCCAAAAGTTTCGCGTACCCGAACAGATGGCGTCGTCGAGATGCGTCAATCCAAGAGGCGGTTGAGGCACGGCGCAAGCGCGGTGGTGACGACCCAATTCCTTCGAGTACGCAAGGCTTTCGGATACATTCTCGCTAATGGAGAACCTCTCAAGTGGTGAGCGTCTTTTTATCGCTCCGTGGCCGATGCGACTGCCGCATCAGTCGCAATAAACGCCAAAGAAAGACAATACGAAGCAAGGAGTGTAAAGGACATTCTCTGCGTTCCTCATGTTGTCAGTGATTGTGGACACACCGTAATGTTCAAATTTATCCCCCCCCCCCCCCCAACCCTTGGCCTCGAATTTATAAAATTAATGGGGTTGGCGATGACCCGGAGAGAGGGAGAAATTGTAAGAAGGAATATAAAACGATAATTTGACCTCTGCACTTCTATGATTAAAAGGAAGATATGATAACGGGAAAGAACAAAGCTTTCTTTGTCGATATTTCTCGGCGGCTCTGCTCGATAGTGAGGCGCAATCGCTGACAAGTGCCCTTAGATCGAGCTTGAACTCCCGGACCAAACAGTGAGCGGGCACAATAGTGCGTCGCGACGTCCACTCTTCTAGGCCACGGAGGAGGTGTGGTAAGTCGGTGCAAAAAAAGCTATTTATAGTTGTTGGTCTGCCGCCTCCGCTGATGCGTAGCCGAGGCCATTCCGTTTGCGCAATACTCTGTCGTGGGTCACATGTTGCGGGGCGGTAGCGCCTCCTGCAGCAAGGCGTTCGGATTTCGAGTGCTCTGGTCGGGTGCGTTTCCTCATCCCTCTCGGTGAGTGGTATTCAGTAACGTTGCTCTTTCTGAGTCCGAGGGTGATCGCGTAAAGTGGACAGTGAGCAAAGCGTATGAGTGCTCCCTTATTTATGGCGCCAGTTAGTGTTGTGAATATGTTGTATAAGCACCGGGGCACAAATATATCTAGGTTATTTCTAATAGCTTTAAAAGAAGGTCCCGGAATTAGGGTAATCGGTTCAGGAAAAACGTGCCATCTCTCCCACACTTAGGTGACATCACATGATGTCACACTCGGGCGATATCCATACATTTGTGTTGAACATCTTCCAGAATCATTTCTATAAACTAAGCAAAAAACAAAACGGTTCCTACAATGTCACGCTCTTGTCAACGAAAACCATGGGGCTTGTATAAAAGACAACTGTGCTTTCGGATGATGCATCACAATATACGTACTATTAAATAAACAACATCATAATCGATGAACGGTGTCTGCAAGTCAATCGTTACACTAAACCAAATACAGCAGTTATTATGATTAAGAGTATTGTTATAGCCCCGTAAGAAGTCAAACATATTGTAAATTGGCAAAGCTACGAAAAATATTTGAAAAAATAATATAAGGTAATACATTAGTATCCCTTTCATAGGAACGCCTCCGTCCCCGGAAAAATCCTCCATAGTGAGTGGTCCATGACGGATCAGGGACAAAACACACATAGTATCAAGCGTAGCAACAACAAGAGATACATGGTGTATTTAGTTAAAAAAGGACAAGATGTGAGTGTGTGCCTTCGAGCTTACGTTTGTGTCCATAAAGCGCTACACGTACTCTGCTTGAATTGTGCGTTCTCCACGTCGACGTGCTGAATGTATGCGACAGCTGTTTCCAAGCCTCGGCGAGCTGCACATCAAGTTACGAGTGCTTCCTCGCGTTCTTCAGATACTGTTGTCAGCGCAAAGGTTCTTTAGGTTTCTTTCTAGTTTCTTTTCTGTTCAACAAAATTTTGTTTTTTCAGTTGGGTAGTGTTTTCTTTGTTTACGTTTCAGAATCGCCAGGGGCTCTGACCACTTCCACTTCTTGTCTGGCATAGACTACTCTGTCAAGCAGTGATGCCGACTTCCGCGGTCGTTTCTTCCCCGATTTTTATCCTGAAATTCCCTGGATTTCACTAGATGTGCAGAAAACGTGTTCGTTTGCTTCTATAACAATATTATATTTATAGAGTAGCTCACAAATATACTTCTGTAGTTGGGTAGCCATTCAAAGGTTAAATCTGCTTCGTTAAAACCTTTTTTCATAATTAAACTAACGGTGAAATCGTGAAAAGAAACTTAGTGAGCTCCTAAAACAAAGTGTATTGAACTTGTAAAACCCACCTTTGTTTTAAGTGTGTTTTTAATACTCGGTGGGAAAGGACAGACAAAAGGAGGATTTCAAACACTCCTGCTTTTAACGTTTCGCGATCTCGAGTGTCAATGACGATTAACGAGCGACAGCCGAGAGCCTGCCTCTTGCCGCGAGCATGTGGCTACCGTTTGATGGCCCATTATAAGCTCCTTCAGAATCGCTTTTGTTACCACTGGAGATCATCTCCGGACACGAAAATATACGAAGAAGCCTTCTTCCCGCTGAGCTCGGCTGGCAGAAAGAAAGAAAGAAGAAATGACTTGTTTTAAAACCCTCTAAAACCCATTAAACAAAATTACTAGATTTGAACGAATTTTCCTTTGCCTATAAACCATAACCGAGGTCCCTAAATCTAGTGGGAAATCTCTAAGGTTGGCGGAACTGTGTCCAAGTGACCGGAGAGGTGTCCGGCCTTTCCTTTTATGCCAATGTCAGGCTTACAACCTAAGAGGGTTTTCGCTGTGGACCACTTTAAGCACGAAAATTTCTCATCCCCCATCATTGCTTTATCTAGAAAACAATTTGTGGGTCGAGAGATTCTCTCCCATCCCCCAAACAATGATGGGCTTTATAGTGACCAGGGGGTCTAGGCGGTTTAGAGTTCATTTTTTGTTCCCGGCTGTGAGTCATATACGATATCTAGGAACAATAGACTGCAAGCTGTAATGACCCGTTTTACATTATAGAAAAAAAATCTATCTGTAGGTGCGCGGGTCTTATCGCAAGACCGGCAGTGAACCGAGGAGTGCACTCCTCAATGTACTAATAACTTAGAAGCGTTTTGGACCTTTTTTGAACTGGTAACGGCGTTGATATTAATAAGACAAAAATGACAGCATTTGCCCAATTCGTCCCCAAAAGAACTGTCCATAGTCCTGATTGCGGATTCCCATATAAACGGGGCAGAATCGCATGGCAAAGAATTGGCCCCCGAGAATTTCGTCCATAATCCGGGTCCTTCATATTAATGGGGTCCATATTTACGATATGACTGTAATTCTGCAGCAAAAACTGGTAAGGCAATTTTGACGTTGTTTATCTAAGTTGGTATCCTTCAAAGAATTGCTGGATTACTCTTGCTGCGGTAAAGTTTGAAGTGCTTCCGAAATTTCGGAACAAAATAAAAAAAATGTTCGTTATGTATTTTTAAGGCTTTGAAAATTTCCGGAAATTTCGCATCCCTACTCGTGAGCTTCCAGCGCTGCATGCGTAGCCATAGCACAACGGAAGACAAAGATCTTGTGATGGACGCCGATCATCTGCAAAAGACATCCTGCAATATCATTCTATGAGTGACTACGGTAATATATTTACAGTGTGCGTAAGACATTACTCTCCCCTTTTGGATTTGTGCCGCCGCATACAACAATCTGAAGTTCAAATATTTTAGTTCGTTTCAGCCAAAGCGCTGACAACTTGGTAAACGCAAGGAGTGACTTATGAACTTCCCGCTACACGATCCATAACTTGGTCTTCTCTGTTCTTATCCGATAATGCTGCAATATTTTTGAATGCATAGCGATAAAGGGATTGCCAGAACTCGCCCCTGGCCTGCGTAGTTTAGCTGTCTAAAGGTTTAAAAAAGTACAAGGGACTAATATCCCGTAAAGAACTTGGAAGAGTAAATTGCTGTAACGTAAGAATGGAACGACGCGAACTCTGATGCTGAAAATACGCGTAGACATAAACACAAAACAGTTTTCCATATGGCAATAAGCACGGAGAAACCTTATGCTGAGTGCCAAAGCCCAAAATATTTCTTTTTAGGTATAAGAAGATTATCAACGTACACATTCCCCAAACTCGCACCGTAGATCGCAGCATTTGGCTCTTCCAAGGACTTTGCGGCGGAGCGATCGCTCCAGAATTCTCAGTTTAAAACGACCTTTATTTCATGTTTCTTTCAGGTAACCGGGCTAATTATGGGCTTACTGTCGGAAAAGGCTCTCTTCTTCTGGGACTGGAGATGGTTTACCACAGCCTTAGTGTTCCTGCTGTCCTACGTCGTGGTGCGATTCTATCGCAAGGTGTCCAAATACCCGAAAGGCCCTTTACCGTTTCCCGTTGTTGGAAATCTCCTGGGTAAGCAGCGAAGTTTGTTGATATGTGTTGGTTTCTTGGTAACAAGCAGAAATCTTATGTCGCGCAAAAACGTTTCCGTGTTCAAGTGGCACGGTAACGATTTACAGCTCACTTATCGATTCAGCTACAGTAAAGACGTTATCAAGCTGCCACAATTCAAACGCTAGTCTGGCCATTGTGGATATCAGATAACTTGTTTGGGCGAGAGTTTGGCAAGCAGGTAACCGCCTTGCTAAGACGGGTACATGGCTCCCGGACTATCGCCTTGCCAGGCTCACAGGCAGGTACATGGTTACTAGTAAAATCACTGGATGTTCCCAAAGTACCTAATTCCATTCAGTCCACTGACCGGAAGTCAATCCTCCAGAATCCACTTCTGATTGGCTGGTTTACACCGTGGCGGATTTCATCAGTCGGCTATATTGAGAATGTGCCTATAATATCAAAACACGTATAGAAAACGCTTCCGCGTCGCCACGGGTACAGGGGTACGCAGGAGTGGGAGCCCTGAGCATCGATGAGTTAGGACCGTACGGAAAAAGCGTTGATTTTTATATTTTTTTTTATATCAAGCAGCTTCTAATCTGGTTCGCCAAAGATTGCCTGCTTGTTTTCTCGCTCCGGTTGCTCCGGTGCTGCGTTTCAAACTCTATGCCTCAGACGCTAAGCCTAACGCTCGACTTTGATGTGTTTCGAGGCGAGAGAGAGACGAGACAGCGAGGAGCAAGTTACTCACCGATCGAAACGAATAAAATAAATAAAAAATAAATAAACCACTGCCGCCACAAGCCCGAAACGGGCATTGAAGACCTGCACACGAGAACAAACACTAGATTGTACGCGCTTCGCTTTGACCGCACCGGGCAGCGCCATATTGGGGATGGTTGGAGGCGCAGCTGCTGCGTCGCTGCTACTCGGTTCTGAAACGAAGGTTTGGTAGTTTCGGTACTCTGGGAACACTCAGAGCCGTATATGTAGAGAGTTTGGCCATTCGTTGGGAAGTATAGGAGACAAATGAGGAGGCGCCATTGACCGAAAGCGGGCTGGGCGTGTTCCAGGGCGTCTTCAGAAATTCGAATGTGACCAACCAGAAGCCGCAAATAATACCCTGGCGGTGGTCGCGAGAAACAAACCTGATAACTGCATTAGAGTAACTCTCGATGGCCGATAATATGGTGCACGTGATGTTTCAATCACGCTCATCCAAAATGACGGTGGAAGATTGCGACTAGCGGAACGATCGACATAATCCGTACGCCAAACGCCGAGGGCCGGGAATAGGCCGTCCGAGCGGTCACAATCTGTCCGCGCGAAATAGAGTTGAGTGGCGCATTCGTTTCCCACATCTTTCTGCATGATCATGATCAAAACAACACGTGAACCCTATTTTCAACCACAAACAGTTACTACACTTCACTCTTACGCGCTTATTAAAACCATATACGAACATAAACCTTCGATCAGAACGGTTTCTCGCTACCACCGCTAGGGGATTCTTTTCGGCTTCTGGTTGGTCAAGAGAGGATGCCAAGCCCCCTTTCCGAGTCCGCCGTACGCCCTCGCTCTGCCCGCGCCTCCCATTGACCAAACTCTCTACATATACGGCTCTGAGAACACTCAGTGACTCTAGTCACTAGGATAGCTGGCACAAACTGCGACCTATCATCATATTAGCTTTATTTCCAACAATGAGGTGCAGTGTTGGTGGAGCTTGGGAAAAAAAGCTGTTAGAACTGCTTGACTGGTACCGAGCCCCCAAAAGTCAGCAGCGGAAAAAAATGTTAAAAGAAAAATCATATGATACATCAACGAGATGTTCAAAACAGAAAACTCACAATAACAAAAGTATAGATATATATAAAAAAATTAACATATAAACATGCCACTCACATTTGATCAGTTTGGCTAAGATTTATTACGTTTCTATGGTTATCTGCAGATATATTTTCAAGCTCGATGTATTGCGCAAAAAAGATAGTTGAAGGTGGTTGGGAGAGCAAACACCGCGGTTTGAAGGCCGTAATTAGTTTTAAAAAATAGGACTTCCCAAGGTTCTGTGACTCTCGTTGGATATGCATATACTTTTCCTTTTAAGTCAGCTAAGCTCACAAGATGTACATTCATACTCATTTCAGCTCGATATTTAACACATAGGCGATATCAATACAAGTTAAAAATGTTTACTACATCTAGCTGGTTAAATAATATTTCTGTTGGAAATTCCGGTGAAACATTGCGAATGCTTCGTAGTATCTTTTTTTGTAATATAAATATCTTTTGTAGATTTGTATAAGTGGGTGTTCCCCAAATTAAATGACCGTAGTTAATTTGTGATTAAAATAACGAGTTATATATTAGCAACTTTATTCTAAAATGAAAGGTAAATTTGTGAGCAACCATCCAGGCATGACTATCAGACGATCTACACAAGCCAGCAGCTGATGGCGGATTCCGGAGGCCGTAGAGTCGCGAATGGCTGTAGCTGCCGTTCGCCTTCTTCGCGCTGCCATGTTTGTTCACTGAATCGTGAAGAACATCCTGAGCATGCGCAGAAGCTTTTATATCCGGATTATTAACCGCCGCTCAAACGTTAAAATCCCAGTGACTTCACAATTTTCGCTTGACTAAAATTCAGTGAAAAATGCATATGGAGGTAGACGTGTCCAGGTATATAATCATATTGCGAATGATATAAACAGGCGCTTCTTGTGGGATCCCCTGGAGCGGGCTGTACCTTGTGCCACCTAGACAAATCTAGCGATATGAAGCGCTGAACGGCCGGTAGGTATTATTTAATGTATAATTTTTAACCAATTTCGGTGGATGTAGACACATACGCGAAGCGATATAGAGAGCGCCGCACCTTGTTGTCAAGACTAAGATTAAACTACATGACTTTAACACGTGCTGCACATAAGATGACGGGTCTTACTGTACTCCAAACAAACAAAAAATGTCTAAGCGTCAACTTCCTATGGGAACACAAGAAAGACATTCACTGTGATCTACTGAGAATTCGACGAAGCATAAAGCTTGTTTACGTTTTCACTTAAATAAAACATTATGGGAAGCTCAGAATGTGATTTTAGATGCTGACGTCACACAGAGTGCAATATGAAATAGTGTTTTTTTGTGTGTTTGTACAGTGAAGCCGCATTTGGCTTTATTTGCCGCGACTCCTCTTTCGATCACTGTTATTTTTTCTCTGGATGTCTGGTAAGATTTCGAGCGCACAAACATTTGTTTTGGTTTTCGATTGCAGTATTCTGACCAATTTAGAAGACCGCTCTTCGTTCCTGAGTTATCAAAGCAGTCCAGTCTTGCCTGCCCTAGATAATAGGGGTCGAATTCAGAGTGTAGTTCTGCACTGACAGTTTTGACTAACCTAGTATTTGGTTTAATCATGGAAACACGCGCGTATTCTTATACAGCCTTTTGTTTCTGCTGAAATTTAATGAAATTCTAAAATTGAAACCATATTACATAATCAAGCAGTCAATAAAAACAACAAACAGTCCATGAGAAAGTTAACAAAACATCGCAGGTTCTTCCTCGCTGTGCAGTCACCATTCAATTTCTGCTCTATCGTACTAGGAATGCTTTCATCAAAATCTAATTGTTACAATTCCTTGCGCTCCAGAGTTCAAATTACCGAATATAAAGAGAAAATGCAATAAGCCCCCGTTCCCCGTTTCTTAAGATGTTGGTGTGTACAAGTCCCGATCTTTCAGAGACGGGTGCAACAGCTAAAGCGCCGAGCTTTATTTATTGCTCCCCACCCATCCATAGATCAGGGTCTTAAAGGTGTTGCAGAAACTTTCGCATAGTGCAGATGGCCAGCAAATGCGTTTCTTGCTGTAACATGCGGTTTGATGTGTCGCACGTCGTAGCCCTTCGGAATACCAACCAGCTCTACAAGATGGCCGAAGAGTGGGCTCGGCAATACGGGGACCCGATCACTCTTTGGATGGGAGAGAAGCCGATGGTGGTGCTCAACACGCAGAAAGTGGTCAAGGAAGCGTTCGTCGAAAAGAGGCACGAATTCGCGGGACGTTTCTCCACAAAAATGGGTGAGAGATACGCGCACTTCGGTTGCCATTGCACATCTGATACAGCGTCGATTGCTCACGTCACTTAAACTATTAACAGTGTTCCACGTGGTCTTATTACACGTAAAGGAACTCCAACGTTCACGCGATTTCTTCAGTTTGATTTCCAACAATATTTGAGATTATTAAGCGTTCTTCCATGGTATTTTCTTTATTCTTGGTGGTGTTATAGAGATAATTTTTGACACGACTGGATATTTCAGAATAGCGTCAACACCAACTAGTGAGGATATGAACGTTTCATTGAATCGTGATTTGCAACTATCAATTACATATACACTTCTGATCATAACAGGGAGTTTTAGAATATTGTACGCAAGGAATTTGCGTACGCAAAGAATAGCGTCGCCGCCACCGTGCACAAGCCGAACACTTAGCGCGTTTCGCTTTGCGTGTGCTATTATAGCGTAAGCAAATTTGAGGAAATTGCGTTCGCAAACAAAGAGTTTTTGAGCTCCTTCAAGAGGGATTTGTAATGCGCAAGAAACTGGCTAAAGCGGCTGAAATCAAGACAAGCCCAATTAGAAAATGGCGGCTCCTTGGACCGCGGCTACAGCCTCTTAGGCGGACGTCGTAAGAGCGACGTCGGCTACGTTCTCGCGACTTCGTTTTTAAATACAGGAGCACATTGCACTCTCACGGGAGGTGCACCTTACAAGCGGTTTCGAGGACCCGGCAAGGTGAGCAACGATCGCCGGAACCTTGCCGCTTGCGACGCGTGAACATTCCTCGGCACAGGTGCGGCGGGTACGGTGTGCTAAGATCAGTACACGAGACCTTTCTTGCCGAGGAGACTCAAGTAGAGAGGAACGGTCGACTTCTCCCGTCGCCGTCACATTCTCATATTTAAACGAATATCAAACAATACTCTAGACCAAAAACGTATTTTCGTTTCTCAAGTTATAGCATTTCCTGTGTGAAATAAATATAGCTACTACATCTTGGTGGCGTTGCCAGCGCGAGATGCTGGGGTTTTTGCGTTCCGGCGGAGGAACGCTATTCTAGAACTCTCCTGTGTGGCGTGCACTAACGCAAGCGCTCAATTTATCGCTAGCGGGCGCTAAAACTGCGTACGTTATTCTAAAACTCCCTAGTTTTTAGAGATTCTCCTTTATTGCTTTTGAGAAAATATTTTTGTCACGCGCTAAAGACTTTTAGAACATTATTAGTCATGGCCCTGGGCAATTTTATATTTCAGATATTTCTACACTACACAACAAAACGTCTATCGCGCTACATTTCCTTCACAATCTGCATTGATGCTTCACTCGACCGCTTAATGGTATACTTATAAAATTACCAGATACTTTGTCCTTACACACATAAGAGCTCGGCACTGAATGAGAACATGGGCGAAAAAGGATAGCTAGAGGTAATTTCCAGTACCACGTACAATCTAAGTGAACACCTAAAATAACTTAGCTATTGCTTCCTAATGGCACCATATTTCTGAAGAGTTTCTGGCTGGAAGCCGTAATCTAGGATATTTTCCACACTCAGGGCCAAGAATGAGCTACTTTAGGTTCACCTAAAGTAGCTCCTTTTAGGCTCTCTAAGTTTGTAGCTTCTTCGAGGCTCTGTAGAAGCATGTATATATATATGTTAATGAAATCCCGGCAACCAGTTCATGGTTCCAGTAAGGAGTCTGTCTTGAAAAGTCTTGCAGAGGAGCTGGGCAATTACTGGAACCTTCATACCACAGGGTTTTACTTTTCTGAAGTCCCGAAGATAACAGCTCAAGATTAATATTTTTGTTTACTTTTCATTTTTTATACTTTTTTCCCAGCAGACGTACCTTTAAATTAATTGATTCGCAATGATTCTTAATAACAAGAGACTAGAAAGATTAAGGTTACAAGCAGTGTTCGAAATTTATTTTGTCAGCTGAACTCCAGAGGCAAGGAAACAACAACATCGTAATGGAGGACTACAACCCAACATGGAAGGCCCTCAGAAAGGTGGCGCTGACTGCAGTCAGGTAGGCGAAATAGTTGATTGTATTTCATAGCACGGTCATGCATAGACGCGTTGAACGACTTCGTAAGCAAAGGTAACTAGAACAATAACGGAAAGTGAACTAAATGTTAATTGGCGCGTTTGAGCATTTCAATGTTTACCAAAAACTTAAGATGAGACTATGGTATATGTAACGAATATATTTATAGTAAACAGAAGCTGGAATATTAATGAACCCCCCCAACCTGGAGAATGATAGCAGGTGTGTATATTAAAGACGGTACTTATAGTACCAGATAATATCAAGACGGGAGGGAGGTGCTTGAGTTGTCCTGCCCCCCGCGTGGATTTCCCAGCTTCGACGACGCTTAGGTGTTTCGGGAACCTCGGGCACGCGGGCCCACAGCCAAAGTACGCTGCAAGCAATGAGCGCGCGATCCAGGCTAGGGGTTCAAGAAGCCACGTGCTATCGTTCTTATTCTGCGGGTGACAGAAGTTGGAAGCAAAGTTTCACCTCGTTTACTCTTCAAGAGAATGCATGTAAAAAAAAAAGGTTTACCAATTCCACCTGAATTGTACGATACTCAAAAATGTGTTAAACAGTATCAAGCGAAAAGAAAAAGGTCCCTTTAGGCGTAAGCATGTCATCGAAAACCGCAAGTAAAGCAGTAGCTTTTGGGTCGAAGCATCTTTGCGTGCATTTTAGCATGCAAAATCTGTAAGGGAAAACATAAAGAAACTAGAATCTTCGTGTTTGCGGTAGCGATCTCAATTCTATTATAAAGCTATGTTTGCGATTGCTTATACACTGTTTGTGTTATATTAATAATTTAGTGGCGCAACACATTAGTTATAGCAGAAAAAAATAACATATTGAGAGTACTTTTTTTGTAGTAACTCTCGGAGAGCCGGATATTTTGTAGCAGAGCCTCGAGCGACCCCGAGTCAGCTCGCTTGTTTATAACAATGAGTTTACGCAAAGGGAATTGTATTGTATACCCAGATTGATATGTTTTGGTGTTACTCGCAGGAAATACGCCGTTAGCGACTCCTTGGAAAATTTGTGCTGCGAGGTGGTGGACGCTTACGTGGATTCGCTCAAGGAAGGATCGAATATCGTGGACTCTAAGGCCCCGTTCCTGTACATGCTCTACAACATCATTGGCATGTCTGTCTACGGAACAAAGTAAGGTTTTGCCGTGAAGTCAAGGAAGCTCGAGACATGTTTAAATTTAATTGCTCAAGATTCTGCTTTCCCCTAAAAGTTAGATCATTACACAAAAAATACTAATTGGTCGGTAATCTGTTTTACGTTTGTTTTGAAAGGAACGCTCGGGGGTTTAATGAGTCAGCGCTTCATTAAAAAAAACTATTTGACTGAACAAGAACAAGATTTACGTAAGCTAGTACGTTGCACTACACCTATACAAATATACGAGCGCTAATTAATTTAAAACAGTGTATAAATGGTTGGGTGCAAAAACCATAAAACTTAATGAAAAACAGTAAGAGTGCAGGCAAGCGGCAGATGTTTAGCTTGTTGCAGCTTATCCCCGAGACTCGGATGCGAAACAAAAACTTAAAATTAGAAGAGACAAAAAAACAAGGAAGGAGAGAATGTCTCAAACGCAGCTGAAACATTTGTTAAGTTCCACATCCTTATGTACTCACAGACACAAGGTCGCCGTTCACACAACTTGCCCTTTTGCTACGACACAAAGTACCAGAACACAGAAAATACCACCACCAGAACAGAACAATCTGATGCCCCCTCAACGACCGAAAATATAACATCACGCCATACCTTCAAAACTCGGGCTAACCCTCCAACAAATGATTATCCTTTCTGGACCCTCTGAAACTACACCCCCCCCCCCCCCACGCAAAACAACATTGACCCTGAACCTAAGTACAAAGACCAACCACCTCAAGGAACAAGAAAAGAACAGAACTATGAAGAGTCATCTTCAAATATACCAATCCCGAACACCAATCTCAAAGGGCAGACGCTCTGAACTCACTCTAACAACGTGATATCGCCCTTTGCTCTTCCAGATAAGCAAGAAATGGGACGATTCTTGAGGGGCTAATGGTGACAGCACCTAAAACTTAAATGATGGCATACCCAATCATGTCCTAAAGATGTGCGCTGCAGCAATTTCGCCTTTTCTAGTTATTATTTTCAACAAATCGCTTTCTTCTGACAGGCTGTCATCGGAGCATAAGAGTGCAAATCTTGTGCCTATTCATAAATCGAGCCAAAAAAAAGCCGGGTTTCTCATTACAGGCCTACCTCCCTAACTTTTATTTGTTCTAAATTACTTGAGAATATAATTTATACAAATATGGTTAGCCACCTTGAGTCCAATCATTTGTATTCTATGTTCTAGCACTGCTTCCGGTCTGGTTTATCGTGCATCCGCTGCTGACAGAATTTGTACATGAACTTCCACTTTCACTAGAAAAAAACGCTCAGGTTGGCTGCTTGCTACCAGACTTTTAAAAGCATTCGATAAGTTACCTCACTCACCTCGCATGCACAGGCTTCCGTCCCTGGGCCTCCCCGCCTATAATCTTGGGTGGATATATCATTCCTTCTCCAATCGTACACAGTGTGTTGCCATTGGCGGTCAAAGTTCTTCGTATGATGATGTAACCTCGGGTGTCCCCCAAGGGTCCGTACTTAGGCCACTTCTCGTTTTAATACATATCATTTAGATAGCGAAAAATTTAAAAAGCAGCGTACGTTTATATGATGCTCATTGCGTTATTTATAGACAGGTTAAAAGCGAGGATGGTTCTATTTTCCTTCAGTCAGGCCTCAAAAAGTGATGAATTAATGTGAAAAATAGAAAATAATATTAAATATTAATAGATGCAATTATGTTATATTCAACAGAAAAAAGAGGCCATTTAAATCCAGGTACATGAACGGTGTCGTCCTCCAGGAAGTTACAGATGTCAATGTATTTAAGAGTTTATTTTAGCAGCGATTTATCCTGGTCTAAACACATGGATACAATAACAAGTAAGGCGAACCGTGTTTTAACTTTTGACAAATGGAATTTCAAATATAATTCCGTTTGTCAGTGTTAGGCCAATCTTAGAGTTTAATGTCCAGTGTAGGACCCACATTACCTAAATTTAACCTAAAGACAAGAACTCATGCAAAATAGAGCAACTCGATTTGTAGCACATAATTACGATTTTCGCTCGAGCGTAACAAACAAACCAAAAATAGAATGGAAACCATAGATTCGCAGAAAAACTAACTGTGAATAAAACTTCTCAGAAATATTTACTTATAACAAACAGGTATATTAAAGGATAATTATTTCCATCGTCCTGATTGCCATTCCTCAAGAGTGGACCATCCGTTAAAAATTAAAATATATATACGAGGTGCAGAACTGAAATATTTAAAACGCCTTTTTTCCAAAATCAATTATCGATTGAACTTTGTCTTCCACAACACGTAATCACTAAGACCTGGGATGAAATGGTTTCTTCTTTGTTATTGTAAATGCTTTAATATTGGTGTGTTGCAGTCTATTTGTTTACTGAGTTTTATTATGTTTGAAACAGTCTTAGTGCACTTCCTGTATGCCCTGCAAGTCTTTTATTCCCGTACTTGTTTTAAGTGACAAATTGTTTCATTTTCTGTAATGTCTACCCCCTACAATAATACCCTCGTGGCGATGTAGGTACTGCGTAACTAACATAAGCAATTAAATAAATAAATAAATAAGTTAAGTCGTCGGAAGGTCACTGAAAGCGACTACCCTAAGCGACGCAGGGCATAGCGATGAGTCCATCAAAGGGCATCTAAATTTACGCACAAAGAGGGGAACAGAAAACAAAAGAAAATCATGTGGGAAAGTCGGATTGCTGTGATCCCGTATTTTCATGGAATTTCAGATTACTTGAACGCCTGTGCTAAGCATTTTGGGGAGAAGTCTGTATAAGTTCCAATTTCAGGTTGAGTAAATTAACTCTGTTTGAAACGGGAGTACATGACTATATAAACGCTGACCATGATAAATCGATTCATTACAAGAAGAGTGTGGTGTAGGAGATTCATGTGGCATGTAGTTTTTTTATGTTGGGTAGACGTCGAGGTGTGTTAATGATATATTAAAAGGAAACAAGAAAATAAAAGGATTAGCGCGAACAATTGCACTGCTTTGTTGTCAGGGATGGAGATCAAGTGTAATGCATAAGGAAGTGAATGAAAGAAAGACTGATAAGCGAAACCCTTCGAAAAAGGTCGATCGGTAGCGGTATCGGTCAGCCATGGTGCCGCTAGGGAACTATGCGAAATATTTTTGAGACAACAGGTTTGTGTGTATGTGTGTGTGTCTGTGTTTAGGCATCTTAAAAGGTGAAGCGCGACAGCACTTCGTTAAAGTGAGTTCAGAGTGCCTGCCTTTTTACCTGGGTGTTCCGAATTGGTAGATTTTAAAGAGGTTTCTTCCCAGTTTCGTTATTTTGCCGTTTTTTGTTGACGAGAAATTGCGCTTTGTACTCAAGTTCAGGGTCACTGTTGGTTCGCAGGCACAGTGTCAGATGCTTCAGAAAAAAAAATGTTTTGTTTAAGAGTAACCCGAGTTGGGGAAGGTGTGCCCTAGATGTTATGTTTTTGTTCGTTGAGGGGGCATCTCAATGCCTTGTTCTGGTGGTGTTTTTTTGTACCTCCTGTTGCTTTGTCCTAGCAAAGTGTGTGTTGTGTGGCGTGAAAGTTCGTGGCTTTGAGTGCATATGGACGTGGGACTCAATGAATATTTTAGCTTCGTTTGTGACGTTCTGTTGTACGCTGTTTTCTGTACTTTCTAGTTTTAATTTTGTATTTCGAACCCCGATCTCGGGTAAAGTTGCAAAATGATAAACATTTATACGAAAGTTATCACCAGAAGGTTTTGTGTTATTGTTATTTTAAAATTTCCACGTAAAGCGTTTTGCATCATTGGACACACATTTGAAACGCGACGCACTAAAACGCACGTATATTTAGAAAGGAGCTTTCTTGTAGACAACATTTCTGCTTCGGAAAACCAGACGATTCTGTTTAAAGCGTTTCTTACTAATAATTGAAGCTGAATTAAATTTAATTGAGTTAAACTAAGCTGCATTAGATTGACTTGAATCAAATAACGGTGAGTTGAAGCGAGGACAAAACCTATACGCGTGATTCTGATATTCCTGCCGTGTTCTCTTTAAAGATTTTCCGCAGCGAACGTATTGCACCAGCGGCTCCCCTAGGACTCGCTCCTTTGCATTCATGAACACAACATATCATGTGGCATATACTTGACACTTCATAATACCTGAATTCGTATCAAAATTGCAATGAAGCTAAATAAATGTTTTAAGTTACGAACGCTTTAAACTTAAAAGGGTCACAAGAAATTAGCACACAAAATTTGACACATGTCGAACATCCACAAAATTCGTTCCCTTATGAGCAAGAAAACAATTAAAAGCAGGGTTCAATATGGCATCAAAGTCTCAAGCTGCCTTTTTTTGCTAGAAGGAAGATAGCTATAAATGACCCTTTCCTTGTGAGCCAAAAACTATGCCTAGCATATTTCAACGCGCTTTCTCTTTTCTGGTCTATACTTCGTTCCGGCTTCCGTCCAAACGCAGCCGACGCTATAAGCTAATAGACCGATTGAAGTTTCAAATGCGCAAGTCACTGGGCCTTCTATGTGGGTCATTGGTGCCGTAATGATGGAACACGTGCATAAAAATGACGAACACCAAGTCGGTGTGCTTAAGACCCTGCTTGACCTGGCACATCCTCCTAACATTGGCTGCGTCCTGGCTTAAGTAAAGCGAGGAATAGGCTTCTGCTGAATTTGTATTCTATGACGCCTGCTTACACCCCGTTTGTGCTTTCAATCAAGGTTCGACAAAGAAAGTCCGGAGTTGGCTAAGCTGAAAGAATTTAATCAGGAATTCTTGGAGAGCGCTCCTAATGGACTCCCGAGTGACATCGTTCCCTGGTTGGGTGTGCTTTACCGTGGGCGTGAGAAAAAGATGGAGATTCTCTTCAGAGAATTTTTTGAGGTGCTCGATGTTCTGTACAAGCGAGCTGCGAAAACATACGTCCCCGGTACGTACACAACTTTTTTATTCCGTTTTTATTTCTTTTTTCGATAGGCGTCATTTTTATATTTTATATTTTGATTAATTGAGCCAGAAAAACGCAATATAAACACTAAAAATAATGCGCACACAAAAGAAACGCTATTCCAACAGCCTTATATTGGGTGATACACCCAAAAAAGGATGTCATTGCACGGAACGTCAGTTTTAATTTTTGAAGAGCGTGGAAAGGGTGAGGAAAATAGTGTTACAATAAATTGAGACGCACATTTTTGTTTTAAGAGTGTTCGTAGCACAGATATTCGCTTAAAGTTGCTCTAGCGTAATTTGTTTTAGGTGGCCATGAAAAATATGTATCGCTTGCACCAAACCTTTTTACTTAAAAATACGGTCCTTAAGTTACGCACAATATTTAATAAAGAGAAAAGCAAAATATTTGTAACGTAATTAGGTGAAAAAACGGCCGCCCGGCAAAGAAACCTCCTTGAAATGTCGGGTATGTAGGCATGCAGCAGTCAGCAGGGCCGTCATTTCTCCCCTGTGAGTGATACTCTTGACCACTTCACTTTCCTTTTTTGTGCGTGTGACAACTGCTTTCGTCGTCGTTGCTTGTAAACTTGTAAATCTGCTGCCCCTAAAACCTATTCGTAGAAGGCTACTAAGATTTCCAGCATCTTATTTTAAGGTGTTCACCCGAATCCAAGGGGCGTTGCTCTAACGCTATACGAATATGAATCCGGTCCCTGAAACAAGATGATGTACGCCTTTATGGTTGGAAAAAATGTTTGAGTGCGTACATTCGTGAAAATGCTAAAAATGTCAACGGTGTATGTTTCAGGCAAACTCGACAACTTCACTCACTCTATGTTAGCAGCAAGAGACGAAGCCATTGAACAAGAAAAAAACGACGCTCAGCACTTGACCGAAGCCAACATGGTTCAGATCATCATGGACATTTTCGGAGGTAATTACCACCAAGCACACTGCTGTTTCACCCAATTACTAAGCTTAGCGTTTAATATTCTGCGCAAATAAAGCTATTTGGTGCGTGGTGAAAGGAAGCATCCGCTTAATATACCGGTTCGGATGTTGATTTCGGTTTACTTCACGATGAGGAATCAAAATTTACGAGCCCGTCCACTATATTTTCAGTTTGAGACGACATTTTAGATTGTATCGACCCACTTTCATTCAATCCCAGTATTTTGTAATGGCAATTTAAGAGATTGTATTATCATCTGTTTTGCACTTGTAAAAACTGTACTGTCAGACAACGGCACCTGACAGAAGAGTCATTCACAGATCAAGGCTCAGTAGTTGCTCTCTCGATGAGATATTTGACGGACTTAATCTAATGTGTTTTTGTAGTGTATGATCAGTTTCGGTGTCGTTGGAGTGAAATCTGTTATCACGCATCTTTCCTCAGCCGCTACGGACACTTCATTGGGGGAGCTACAGTGGCTCTGCCTGACGATGACCAGGAAGCCGGAGATACAAGAGAAGATTAAGAAGGAAATTGAAGCCAACCTCGGTGAATCAGACACTTCGCTTTCTTCAATCTGCTTTCAATTATGCTGTCTGAGGACCTCAGGAAATATTTATTTTTATGTAAACAAACCTCAAGGGATAAAAAGAACAGACGCGGCTAGCTAAGGCCCACTGATCACAAACTGTGTCTGGCTGAGATTAGTGGTGTTACATGAGCCAGCGCACCAACTTTTTCAAATATAAAATTGTAATGTCAGTAACTGCGTTAAGTCTTTGGAAGTAAAATACAGGTGGAAACCAAAGATTCTGCCTGCCGTTCCGCACAATATTCGGACTTGGCTTACACGTGCTGCTGAAAATTAAGTTCTATGCAAAGACCGACCCCCGTAAGAGACGTTTTATATCACGTGCCTTGAAATCTGAAATAGTCTGCGTTCGTGTAGAACACAGAGGTGATCTGTCTGAGGATCTCTTCGAACGACCGAACTCCGACTAGAGCTATGCCCAATCGCGAATTCAACAAGTCGTTTTGGACCGCGTTGAGATCGACGTTTCTGGAGCGCGCCCATTTCACTGGGCGATCGGGATCGAGATGTTACGTGTCACACTCGTGGTATTGAATCAGTTCTGAGTCCAGATCTCGATCCGAATCCGAGAAACGTCGCTCCGCCGATTTCGGCTGATTCGACTGGGCCTGGCCAACCCTCGCCGCGCTCACCTGACTTACTCTTTCTCGCCGGGCATGACCGCGGGAATGGGATTCCCGAAAAGGTGAATGGCGGGATGGCATCCGCCCATCCCGGAAGAGTGGCCGTGTTCTGCGAGGGATCCGGAGGTGCAGCGACTCCGTTCGGATCGCGTGCTCCATCTCGGATCTGGTCTGCTGATCCCACCGCGCTCTAGAGCGACCGTGGAATTCATATAAAAATGTGGACTGCTCTGAAAATGTTTATTCGCATGATATTTATTGTTAGTTGCCTAATTTGCACTGTCTAGGTTGTAGCGCCAGCCGTGATCCATTAACATTTTGTAACAGGTCAAGCTCGGCCCAGCCTACGAGACAAAGAGAAGCTACCTTACACGCACGCCTGCATTTTGGAGGCTCTGCGCAGGTACCCTATAGTTCCTCTCGGACTTCCACATAACACGACATGCGACACATCAGCTGGTAAGTGTGCTTTGCTACTAAAAGTTATGGTTATAAGATAATAGGTTACACATTTACGGGTTGAACATAAGAGACATCATGAGACTAAGGCGTTGTGTTGAGCTTACTAGTCGAGAAAGAACCGGCATTCATTCAGAAATGCTCTAGCCAGTATTCACTGCAACATAAAAATTATGCAAAAAAGCACTCGATCAGGAAAATAGCCAAGCATGAAAAGAATCATCCCTCGAGCAGTTTATTGTTTTTAACGCAGAGCTAACAGGGATTCGTACCGCACTTGACGCCATAGGTCATTGGTGGCCATTCTCCGAAAGAAACGTTTAAATTTCACCCTTCACGAGTGATACTTCCAAGAAAAGACACGTAATTTGTATAGTGGCAACTAACACGGCGCGCTCAAACAACTTTAGTACACGATAGTTTGTGTTTAAAACGGTAGCGTCCTCATGGTCGGTACGTTTAAACAATCAATTTTGCGGTATGTTTGTACACGAGACATCAGGAGTAATTTAAGATCACACCATGCGCTTAAAGGATGAAATACTTAGATTTAGATTTTCCGATATTGAGCGATATAATGCTTATTAATACTCTACCCACGTTTGCCCACGTTGTTTTGATAAACACACAGTAGAATAGAACGCTGCTGCTCGTCTGAGTCCGCGCCACCTATACGTATAGCGTTTATAAGCCCCCCAGTGAATAAAAGGCTCGAAGGCGTCAATATAAATAAAAAATCAGTAGAACGATGCCATTTCTATCGGTGTACGAAAAAGCTCTACTCCTACTACAGCCTGTCTGCTAGAAGAAACGGTGTTATTTTTTACCGCTAAAATTACCTACTCATCACCGAATGCTCAACCTTCACCGAAATATAGCGCTATTGGTTCGGAAAAAATGCCACATCAGAAATAACCGTAAAGTTACTTGAAAATTATAAGGGATTTCCCGAGAGTTTATATCGGAAAATGGGTCCTTTTCCTTCTAGATGACACCATTAATCTCGACGTATTCGTTGACTGTATCGGACTCGATTTTCCTATTAATAATGATTTAAAATTTCTTATAATTTTGAATAAACTATTGAGACTTTTTCAAACTTCTACGTCTGATCCGGACCACTGGCGTCACATTTGAGAACAGGGCTGACCATTCGGCGACGCGAAGTTTGTTTTCAGGTAAACAAAACACAGTTAAAGTTTTTTCTCGAGGACAACGTTTAACGAATGGCTCCTCTTTATGTCCAGAGCATACTTGTCATGAACTTATGACTTTTTTATGACGTTCAAGGTGGCGTTCTCAGGTGTTCTTTTTGTCCCTATTTCACATCAGGTGGTCTTTTTATACCAAAGAACACTGGAGTTCTTTACAACATCTACGCCGTAAACCACGACACCCAGATGTGGGCAGACCCCGAGGTCTTCAGGCCGGAACGATTCCTGGACCCTGTCACGGGCAGGGTGAACCAGGAACTGCTGCCGCAGATGATCACTTTCGGTCTGGGTCCCAGGACCTGCCCGGGAGAGAAGTTGGCGCACGCGGACATGTTCTACGTCCTTGTACGCTTCATGCAGCGAGTCAGCTGCACTGCCCTGCCGGGGAAAGAAAAGACCGCCATAGAGGCTCTCGATTCCAACTTGTTTCTGATGCCAGCGGAACAAGACATCGTGTTGACCCGGCTTTACTAACCTTAGAAAACGTAAACCGTATGTGATCTATGTACCTGAAAAAATGCTTTAACTGCGTGTCTTGTGTGCGTGTTTGTGTTTCTTATTAACCTAGTTCAAGCCGAATAAAAACGTGCGAATTTTGTGTAATATATTGCAAACTGTCGTTCGAAATAAATGACACTTGGAAAACCTGAACGAGTTTTAAAACATATTCAGTAAGTGTATGTTGACTTTTTGGCACCACTGTGACTAGTTTTCGATTACTTAAACAACGTCAGCAACGTGCATTTATGCGAAGTTATTTAAATTATAACTCTCCGGCATTGCCTTCCATAAACAGGCTCATTCTTGCTGTCGGCTTTTCTGTCGCTGCTTGTATTTGTCTGGATTAAGTCCCCTCCAATGTAAATAGGTCTTAAGAAGTATTTCTACAAATGCAAAAATGTAAAACGAAAATAAATAAAGACTCATAACTCCACTCCAAAGACACAGAAGGATTCTATGGCACATTACATATTGCAAGAAGGGTTGCACATCTTTCTGTTCGGACACATAAGCTTTCGGAGGGATCCCAACTTAAAAACTTTAAGGTATAATTTAAAAAAAAAGAAAAAAAAAATATCAACATGGTTTTAACCTATAATAAATACTACTAGGTAGTTAATATGTAAGCAGTCTGCACATCATGTCCGGAGGGTTCGTATGAGCGTTTTGAGATATCCTGCCTGACGTCTCTACGAGCTGTTTTTTATGTTTCTCGATGTAATAAAATACGAACTTTACAAACCTTACAAGCACTGTTCGCTGTTTTACCACCGATGAAACCACCGAGAAAGCAGGAAGTTTTTGTAGATAGTTTCAGCCGTCTCGTAACTCTTTCCCCAAGCCCCTTTGAGATGCGAAACCACGGTACTTGGAAAGTGTCTTAGAATACTGTGTATACAGTCCTATTTCGGTCATGCATGGAAGGTTTTGGCAACAAACTGGGTCGAAGAGACCACAGTGTCGTGCTGCCGGATGTCTGGATTCCGGCGATTGCTCGATGAAAGGCTGCCGAAACAGACGACGAGACGCAGAATCGCTGTCGTCGCGGCGTCCCAACTCGTGTCCGCTTATGTTTCTATCGCCTGTCGAGCTGCAGAGCGACCCGCGGCAGAGCGGGAGTCTGCCGCAACCACCCCTGCTGCTCTGCCGCCACCAAGATTGTTACAGGAAACATGGCGACACTTTTCTGACGTTTATGGACACAAATCGTGGGACCACTGCTGGGAATGCGGTGAACACACGGGAGGGAGACGCACTCCAGCCACCCTACCGGAACGTTGCAGACAGGGAAAGCGGCGCTCAGGGGCCGAAGCGCAGTTCACGTTGCGTGGAGGGGAAAGAAGCGATATACGAAAACTCCCTAGTCTTTTTCGAATTCCCTAGAAATCTCTGGGCTGCCCCTTCAATGCAGCTCGCGACGACATCTGTTGTCCAAGGCCGCGGGCTCTTTCCGGTGCTTTATCTGCGCCGTTGGGCGCTCGAGGCCATCCGACGTGCAACGTCATTTCTGGTGGGTCGCTTTTGTGGGGGCGTTGGTCGCTCCTGTGGCAGGACGTTCCGAGCGCCGACGCTCGCTTTACGTGTTTAGAAAGTACGTCGTAAGGATCGGTGAGTACAACGCTGCTCAATCACTCTGTCGTTTTTCGTAGCTAGGGTTAATGCGAGTCCATATAAATAGAATCTAATCTCCCTGTTTGATTGTGTTTAATATATGTCGCTGTTACGAATGTTTTGTTTTCTGGGTAACAGACGAAGGAAAGCGCATTCTCTCACTGTAATTGCTTTTGGGATAGTTAACTCTTATTTTCTGATTATATTATGTTCCGCAGTATTTTTCTCCTTTGGCCACGAAAGAATTCTAGGTAGAGTTACATTTAATAGGTATTATATATTATTACCAAGCCTCTGTTAGAATTATCCGTGGAAACTGTTTACAACAGTGTACCGTTTGACGATATTATCTTATGAACTATTATAAATGTTATCCTAATTCCAATAAAGGTCTATGTAACCCCACTTGAAGTCTCAAATGAGAGATGTGGGGCAAGTTCTCTTCAAGTATTTGAACTAAATACTAGTAAAAAAAGGTACGCCCAGAAAAAATACAACGCGTTCTGTTTCATCTAACTTAACTAATATTGTGTCTCGTTTCCGTGCTCCTCATAAAGACCGTCAATCCATTAAACTGCATTCCTTTTAATGTCGCTTCCCGAAAGCTTCGTAGTGGGGTGACCGATTGCGTATGATTTCGGTATTTGGCGCACAGGTGCAGGCTACCCATGGCCTGGAAGTACGCCTGCTTGTGCGCTTAAAGACCTTGAAGAGGTGCACGAAAGTGTCTGTGCTATATGTGCGGATACACCTGGAGCTGGCATCTGATGCTGTTATTTATTCTGGGAATATGCGTCTTGTTTGCACATTTGGCAATAGATCTACGTTTGGGAATTTATGAAAAGACGTTTGTAGTTTTTGCTGGTTTACATTTTTTGGTGCGGGGAGCGTTCATTGAGGCGAGGACTAGGCTCAAGTAGGGAGATGAAATACAAAATGAGTAAAGAGTAATTTGTATTTGATCGTTCTATTCGTTCAATAGGCTTCAATAAAATACATTTTAGACGTTAAAATCGCTTCCGCATGCCGCAACTATAAAAGATGTCGGCAAGTCAGGAATGTGCATTGTTTTTGTTGATCATACAATTACTCTAGGACTGCAAAACGCTCTCAAGAATTGATGCGATTCATCGGATAATGAAATTTCAAGGCCATGTATGACAATGATCAATGCACTTAACTCTACCGATTGAATTCCTCTATTTTATAAATTAAAACAATTTATCACTTTCACTGTAGAGCGAAAACCTGTTTACGTAATAAACATTAAAAAAAAGCTCTCGCATGTTATCCCTACGTTGGCGTCCCTATATTTCTTGTGTCTTGTCCAATCTGTTGATGTGTCTTTTTTGTCATAAATGTTTCAATACTGAAAAAAAAAAAAAAATCATCCATAAAGGCGCGCTGAGCGCCTCTATTATTATTCGAGAATTAGACGTGGGCAATATGATATTTAATAACACATAAAAGCACCTAGACACCGAATGAATACCTTTAGCACCAGCAAGGTAGACATCTTTAAACCGCCTCTCTATTCCACGCTCTCCAGTTGCCGTCGCAAATGAACCACACGCTCCGATGATGACGCTCGATTTATCGACCAACACACTGTTTACAAACAAGACAGCGTTTTCCTACTGGGTGAGGGCACTGCACGCCCGCAGAAACCAGATTCGCACGAGGCGAAAGATATGCGCATGCGCTGTACCTACAGCAGCGCCACCGTATTGGCGTGAACGTCATAGAGTTGAGTTTGTCGATACCCTGTTCCAAGTGGCGCGCCATATAGTAGCTGCTGCGCCAATCATCCGAGCTCGCCATTGTTTGGGTACGTACTATACTTTGTTTCAGCTAAAGTCAAGACACAGTCAAGGCTACGCGATAATCAGGCCAATCAAGCAGCGTCGAAAGCCCGGACCACTGAGCCCCTTCTGTCTGCGATTGGTTCAGCAATGATTGAACACAATGATGGTCCACTTTGACGTTGCCTGATTGGTCCAATCAGCTCGTATCGTCGGCTGCGTCCAGACTTAAGCTGTAAGGTACAGCGAGCATTGAACACGAGGGTTGTGTGAGCATTTGGCGCGAACTCTGCTCAGCTTGGATGAAGAAAGCGCTGCCTCATCATCCGGCCAAGGCTCGGATCCAACCATGAACTTGGCGCCAGAGAAACGGCGAACAAAAATTTTGCTTCATGTGTTTTTGAGAAGGGTTCATTAAAGTTCACCAGCTCCATCTACATACCGACATGTTGCAAGAGAATAAAAAAGGATCCTAAGACGCTCTATTTGACAAAGCGGATGACACGTTACGTTGGGAATCGCTTCACATATTTATACAAATAGCATTCGCCTTGTCTTAATTATTACTATCATTTGACATACCGATACGTTTCTAAAAGGAGAAACTTTTCACTCATTTTATATAAAACAGGCGATGTTAAATTACCTATGAAATCGTTAGACGTGTTTATTCAAGGAGTATTCGAGCTGCCAGGAACATTAGTATCTCGAAAATACTATTTTTATCTCCCTTTGATTATGATCCTTCATTACAATAAAGCTGTTCTCGATTACATAATACATCTTGCATGTTTTCCCTGAAGTATCATCAAGATGGATATTTTTTTATTGGTGCTTGACCTAGTACACGCCATCGCTTCGCCAGCATTTTTTTTATTTGTTTAATAATACACAAAATTATCTTCTATAATTCTCTGAATACGTCTGACCTTACGAACCTGTTTGCAAACATCACCGTCCAGAAGACAATAAGATGGTTTGTTGAACATCGGGTACTCTATAGTTCGTGGTAAATATTATTTTATTCATAATGACTTTAACTTGCTTCAAATTTCTATATATTTTATTGGGGTCTGCATAATTCCCAGGGGTAATAGACATTATACTCCCGAGAGAAAATAAATCATTTAATATTGACTATTGAATGACAAAAGCTACACGTACTTGTTTATCGTCAGTGAGGTTTATGGGAAATATCACCTGAAACGCTCCATTTTTCGGGTTGATTCTGCAGCATACAAAATGTTTAAGGTTCTCTTGAGAGTATATTTCTCAAACTTTCATTTTTTCCCCTTTCAGATAATTTAGCTACATCATGAGTTTTCTATCGGAAAAGGCTCTCCTCCTCTGCGATTGGCGATGGTTGACGACAGCCCTAGTTTTCCTGCTCTCCTATGTCGCGGTTCGATTCTATTACAAGGTGTCCAAATACCCGAAAGGTCCTTTTCCACTGCCCGTCGTTGGAAATCTACTCGGTGAGTGCAAATTAGCGTTTTGTGCGTCACAAAGTTGATGGTAATTAAATGCTAGTTCTTATGCGAACTACAGACAGATACATAGGCGCACAATACAATGACGTTCCATTGATTATTTTAATTTCACTGTCACCTGGCAGCGGCCTCCTCTAATTAATGTCCGAGAGAAATGTGTCATTGTCGTGTAAAATAAGTAAAAAAAGTTATTGTATATTTAAGGTGCGTAAAATTAAGAGCTCTACCACACACAATTAATGATGTCTTGCGTAGTTCAGCTGGAACTTGCGGAGATAAACCCTGAGGAGCGGTGCCTTTCTTCGGGAATAATTAGTCGCTCTTTTATTCAGTTGTGCCCTCAAAGACTATATATAAATCATGAGCGGTTCAGATAGGCAAACAAATATAGGGTGCACTGTGCGGGCATATTAACAGAACAATTTCTTTGCATAATATATCGGTTCAAAGTAATCTCTTCTCTTTCGCCTACAATGGTTCACGCTACTTCAGATTTCAACTCGAAGTTTTGCATTTTGATTGCAGCGAGATTAACTTATATTTCAGCTTATTTTTCACTCTCTGAGGTGACTGAACGAACGAATCCCTGTAGTATTGGCTCGAAAAAAATCAAAAATAATTTTGGTATTACATCTGCGCACCAGGACCCGCCTTCCAACACACAATGTGTTTTTCAAGGGTTTAGATATTTGTTTTAAAAATCTCTTGAAAGGCACATTAATGCAGTCTGAGCAGATGGGTTATATGGCCAGAGGGGCGTAATACAGGAAGTTAATCATCACAACTAGTGTAAAAATGAAATATATTTGTTAGTTAACTTTTTGATTAGTGAAAATAAACGTATCGTTCCACAGGAATTTCCTGAGAGTCAACAAAAACCACCAAATTAAAATATAAAAATGATGCGAACCTCATCAGAGCACGGTATTGCGCTCTAAGGTTACCACTCGTACAACAGGCGCAAAGCTGGCGGCGACAAAATGTGAATGATAAAAGATTTAAAAAAATCGCGCGGGCGCTTTTCGCGATTATGGCCTTCGCTTTGTTGCACGAGTCTTAAATTAAGCGCACCACCGCCCTTCCTACGCGATCTTAGCCTTTCTCCAATTGACGTACTTAGTAGTCTTCGGTAACAATCAGCAAGTTTTTAATCGAAACTATATGTCTTTGTCAACTAATTAGAAAGTTTATTAACATACATTACTAATAATAGAGTTTATTGGGATGATTTGTCATTTCTATAATCTTTCCCTGGCCATATGACCCATTTGTACACACCACATTTTTCATTTGTTTTAAACTTTTTTTTTAAGAATTGATAAAGCCTAAAAAAGGTCTTGTGTAGTTACGAATATATCATAAATGAATAGTGCCACATAAGACATGTTCCGTCTCGCGAGTTTTCGTAGAGCATACGCCGTAACTTTCAGCTTGCACAATGTGCTCGAGTGAAGGATCGACGAAGTAGAGATTCACCCACAGCTCGCAAGTATAGAAAAAAGCGGGCGACACGACAATGCCCAGTATGTATCGATCACTGAAAGCTGCCATTGTACCTTTACCCGGTTGTAGGTCTCCGAAACACCAGTGAACTTTACAAGGCGACCGTAGAATGGTCCACGAAATACGGGGACCCGATCACGTTGTGGATGGGAGAGAGGCCCATGGTGATCATCAACACGCAAAAGCTGGTGAAGGAAGCGTTCGTCGAAAGAAGGCACGAATTCGCTGGGCGTTTCCCCTCCAAAATGGGCAAGTGTAGTTTGCTTTTGTTCCAATAGCTATTGAACACGACAACGTTGTTTTTTTTTTTTTTGAAATCATAAAATGAAAAGTGAGAATGACAAGAGTTGTATTGCAAGGGTTGTAATGATGTCAAGAGAGTTGTACTGATGTCAACACAACCCTTTTGCAAAGGTTGTATTGTCATCAGAACGCCGAGCTCAGATTCGCTCCGATTGAAGGATAGTGGGTAGACCTGATGGGAGCTTGCTTTGCTGTCTACCGAATACCCTTCAGACAGAGCGAATCGGGACTCGGCATTCTGACGTCGCCACAACTCCTGCAAAAGAACCAGACGAACCGGCGCCTGCACTCGCGGCGCACAGATAACAATTAACACGAGGGATATGAACCTGATAGCAGTTCCTGGAATGAAAGATACTGGCGCTAGTCGGCTTTGAAAGCCTGCAGATTTCCACAACCTTTCATATCCACCCCAAGCAGTCAATCAGCATTGGTCACGAGACCTTTTCACCAGCCGATTAGTGTCGAGCTTGGCGGTCGACTTTTTTGGCTTCACCAAATCTGGCCACCCCCTCCCCCCCCTACCCTTGACGAGGGAAAAAATGTTTCACGTTCATTATTTTTGTTGCTCTGAAATGGTATACCACCTTGAGCGAGCCAGAAAGTGGGCAGACTATCGAACCGCCACAACAAGCCGCCTTATGTGCACTGCGCGTGGTACAGCGCAAATGCAGTGTCCGTAGTTTTTTGCATCCCTCTCCAAGTTACAACGAGCATTATCTATTACCATTTGAGTTGGCACCCCACTTGAGAACTTACTATAATAATAGTAATAATTCTTTTATTTATTGTGTCCAGTAACAACCTAGGCCTAAGCACTGGTGCACTCGTTAGTACTAAACAAGAATACAAATAACGAAACAATAAGTAACCTAAGAAATGCAAACGACAACATAGAACAAAATGCTCAGGAGTGACTAGGTGTATACATCAGCCACATTGATTACGCAAGCCCTTTTTAAATCGGAGCAAATCTTTATTGAAAATGTCTATATCTGATAGTGATTAACAAACGCACCGATAGCAATTAACAAACGCAGGGAGTCGCTCCTTATGCTCGCCCATCTTGCTTCGGAGTTCGTCCTAAAGCGTCTTTATTAGCTAAAGCCGAAACTTGATTGTCTGCGAAGCTATGCGAAGCTCGTCTGCTTCTTGACCAGGGGTTGCGATGAAGTCAGAAGGCCGAGCTTTCATTGGCTGATTAAACGAAAGAGTGGGTGGACCTCGAGGCATCTTGCATTGAGGTCTCAACTCTATTGTTTCAATCAAAGCCAATCTGAACTCGGCGTTATTCTAACATCACCACAACCCGTGCGCAAGAAGCAGACGAGCTTGCTCTCCGAAAAGAAAGATGCTCGGGACTTGGCACATCCTCTGTTTTTGTCAGTGACTCTATTACTTCAATGAAAGCCTTTCAATCCCAAGAGTAAAACGACAAAAGAGCCGTTACTTGGTTCTTTCCGCTAACTATATTGGGATGATTAGAGCGGTGGTTTTTGTTATATCGGATGTTTCACATGTTACGTGTTGTTTACGCCTCGAGTTCATCGCCCCAGCGCATCGACTCAAGTGCACGTCATTGAACGTCTAGGCAAGCTCGACAGAGTTGGATATAAGAGAGTCACATATAGAGGGGCCTCCGCTCCTTTTACCTGCTTTGCGTTCGGAGTTGGCGGCTGCATGTTGTCAACCCTCAATAAAGGGTGCGGTCACTTAAATTGGTTCTCTGCTTGGATATTAGCAGTTCTATTATGCGTATTGTATCTGTCAGGTCTTGATATTTGCATTAACGTCCTTGCATATCTACTCAGTTAATTACAACGTCTTCATTGCACGGACGCCTTGCTACTACAAAAAAGCCCCATTTTATTTACTGCACCCTCGTTGACTAAATTTAAATTGGTATTCAATGACTCGTCAATTTTAGATAATGTTGGCTTAATGTTACGCGAGAGATGAGCGGTATATAAGAACCTTGGCGTAAAGGTATAGATCTCTATCTGTTAGCGTGTTTCAGAATGGCCGTGGGCGTTTCGAGTTTTTATTTTTTTCTGAGGGCTGTGTGAACTCAAGAGGCACGTGATGGATGTAGCCTCCTTCCCGTCTTCATCTTCTTTTCTTCTCAGTATATTGAACTCTTAGAAATCTAGCAGAAGCTATATCGTCTAGCGCGGTATTGGCTACGTTTCTGCGGCTTCCAAAGATTTGCCATTCTGTCATACCCGTTTCTGAAACATTCAGGCATTGCCTGATTCTTTTCTATAATTCCCCGTGTATCAGACTCATTTGGGCCAAAATTTTGTTTTGGCCGGACAATTGATGGCCCCAAAAACCCACAGAAAAAACGTAAAGAAAAAAATTAACTTGATATTGTTTTGGCCAGATTATTGGTATTCTTTGACTGATATTGTCAAACAAGCACCAGATCTGCACTTACTGCTTAGTTGTTCGGTTCTAGCCTGACGTCTTTGGGCTTCAGTTGTTGCGGCCAGAATTAGGCTTCGGTTGTTCAGTTTTCACTTAGCGAATTTGAACCTAAATTCCCGAACAAGACCAGTAATTAGGCTTCACTGCGGGTTACTTGGCTGATACGTGGTATTCGTAGCTTATGCCGTGCACTTTGTCAATTTTGTAGTGAACCTGAAAGAAGCTATAAAATAGTAAAGTACATTTGCACTACGTAATGCCTTCAACCAAAATCGTTTGATAGTTCTTTTCGCTTTAAGTCTAGACGTAACTGACATATACCAGCTGATGGGACAAATAAAACAGCGTGAAAAGTGCGTCATCATGGTGTTCGACATGTTTTTGTGCGTGCTCTATCATCGCTGAACAAATCCGAAACAGAAAAGTCCCAATGACTCGCGCTTTGATGCTGGCTAATTCAGGTCCATTTGCTCGTAGCGCCGGCTGCGTATGGACTTAAGCTGAAACAAAGTACAGGCACAAGTTAGGCCCCCAGGATCGCCACACTTGGGCCAACTTAGGCGTGTGTCTGGCGTGCTGTTTGGGGCTGCGCAAATAATTTCTTGCTTCATCCCTTTATATTTTTTTAAACAGCCTGATGTATGTGATCTTTAAAACGTCTGGACTAATCTTCATCAACATGAATTATAGAAAGAAATGAACGGGGGAGGGGGAGGGGCAGTGTTTCAAGCGAACATTTTCTTTTTTCTTCAGGTGACCTCCAAACGCAAGGAAACCACAACATCATTATGGAGGACTACACACCTACATGGAAGGCGCTAAGAAAGGTGGCGCTGACCGCAGTAAGGTAATCGAATCGAGCGGTTGTACTGGTACTGATATGAATACACATGTTTTAGTAAAGTTTTATTTAGAGGGTTCAAAAAGGAAGGACTATTAAGACAGAGTTTAGCGAACTGAAAGTCAATGAGTCGGGTTGTACTCCTAATAATACTGCAAAAAAAAAAAAAAACCTATAAGTGACATTTACCGCCCGAGCAGTAGAATTCCATGGAAGCTATGAAGGTACTCTAAAGAAGTAAAACGCACTTACCATAATAAAGAACGTCCCTGACGATACTGAAAGATAGGCTAGTTCGTACATCAATATTTCTTACAAAATCGCGACAAGACAAGGATGGAAAGTAAGTCCACAGCATAAGCTTTACTTTAAAATGACAGTTTATTGAAGAAACACAAAGCATTTTTACGCCCAATCGGTCTTCTCAAGTAGGAATGAAAATTCTTTATCTGTTAAATGAACCAGTGGGCTTAGTGTCGAATCATTCATTGAACTGATCCTATGCTGCCTAGATTCCCCCCTGGTGTCTTTTGAAGGTGACCTGTATTTACAAAAAAAAAACACGGGATCTGCATCGAGACACGTGTCGCCCATTCTGTGCAATATTGTTTGGCGAGATTTGGCCGGGGTGTGCTCAACGATTTAGAAACAGAAGGGGATGTTAAGATAACAAGTCAAGTGGATGAGTTCCTAGTGCTGGTATCGCAGCCCACAGTGTTGAATGACAAAGATAGTTAAAGAGTCCTCAAAAGTTTCTCATTGAATTCGCACAAGACAAGGACGTCAAGGAAACTGCAATTTCTGGATTCAAGTTTAAATTTGCAAAAAGATCGCGTGTGCAGGGAGTATATATGCCACGTTGAAAGAAACGGGTGTTACCCTTCAATTCAGCCTAATCTAAGTTGGTAAAGAGGCATCGCCTCCTCCCTAATTAATACATCCCATGCAAAATCGAGCCGACACACAATGAAACGCAGCTTTTTCAACCAGGTGGGACGAACGAGATTGTAGGGCGACCCTGATAATTTTTTTTCAAGGGGTAGCCGAAACACTTGTTTTTTGGTGTTGTATTTTTTTAATTAAGAGGAAAAATAATGATGAGGAAGCACCCAGGTCCAGGAAAAAAGTGAGACGCGTCGTCATACCCTCCATACACAAGAGTTGGCACTACCTAAAAAGGTGGCGTCGCACTTTGATGGGCCGATAGTTTGTTCGGCCCCAGAAAAGTCATCTGGTCGCTGTCGAAAAATCTACAAAAAAATGAGGGTGACGTGTGCAAAAATAAGCTCTCAAAGTAGTTTGTAGTCATGCCTCCTCGGTCGTGTATACAGTTTCTATGACTTGAGGTGAGGTCAAACGGGCGGGTGCGTCAATGACAGCACACGAGAACACGCGCTGTCAGTAGGGAATTTCCTCTCGGGCGAATAGGATATTAATTTTTATAGATGTCCTTGTGCCCTTGAAATAGAAAAAATAATTCTGGAGAAAGATACGAAACAAGATATTGAGGAAATTGTATGCACCATTCAACACCACAATGCGAGGGGGTGACCGATGTAAAGTGCTCCGACAGTTTATCTAAAAGATAGAAAATTGAATTCCCGGTTGAGAAGCCCAACTGGGTGTATAAATAGGTTTCGTTGTTTGAATTAACAGTCAGTTAGAAGGTAGCTGTTGTGCTGTGTCTCTTACTTCTTGTCCTGGTCTTGTGGCGCTTTTGTCAAAAGGAACGTCCCTGAAGTTTAAAACCCAAGACACTTGATGTTTGGGGAGCAGAAATATATTTCATCTAACTAACGTAACCTTACCAGCACGTTTCAGCACTTAGTCGGCAGCACGTGCAGGGGTATATTTCTGAGTCATGCCCGGGGGGGGGGGGGGGGGGGCGGGGGGGGGGAGGGGGAGGGGGGGCTGCAAAGAGCTGTAACATTGCATGCAGATTTAACAGCACGAGCGTATGTGACGTTACGGACAAGGGTAACTGTCATTTCACCAAGAACGAAAGGTTATTGCTTTCTAAAGAAAACGAAATATATGCCCTTTTTGAATAAAATAAATTCGCCCTTGGAGTGGAAAAGGGGGGGGGGGGAGGAGGGTGTCGCCCCTCGCTTCCCGCCCTTAATTGCGCCTCTGGGCGGCGTGAATAAGAGAACACAGGTTTCTTCAACATTAATCATCATGTCCTTGCTTTCAAATGTGCTCAATAAGACAAATGTGTAAAATAAACACATTTACTTAATGTTTTAGCTCATGTTCAACTATTTAATGAACGATGGTGCAATATTTAATTCAAGATATAACAGTTTGTTTATATATATATTTTTTTTAAGTTGACGGAGCAAAGCTCATCGTGAATCGTGAATGGCGTTGCACATATTGCCTTTGTACCCAAAGATTCATAGAACACCGGACCAATTAACAATGTAATTAGCCTGCTGCGCATATCACGCTCTACGAAACAGCACGCGAACGGTGTAAAAGTCAAACAAACGTATCATAATTTTAGAAATCGAAATCGCGTAAAACACAGGCATTATTTTTCGTTTTGTCTGCGTGTAAATACTCTATGTGTGAAAACATCATTAATCTTGGATGTCATGACTGAATCTCACCATACCGAATCCTGCCAGAATCGGCAGTCTTTTTGAAGCGTCATATGACCCATCCGACGGTTCTTTGCGCGTGGGTCTGGTGCTCCGTGCACTCGAGTAACACGCGACATTAAAGTTTGTGAAGTGGTAATTGACACAGTTCTATATTTATCTACTCTGCGCGTACTAAAAGATTGTGGAAGAGATGGTAATGAAACACATTGTGTTAAAACACTTCGCCGATTCATATTTAAGTTGCATGTATTCATTCAGTCGCTTATCACGCTACATCTTCAAAAAATAAATCTAATTCAATGAATTAATACATTGTTGGCTTCATAATTAAATAATAATCACAGCGAACATTTTACGCTCTATGTTTGTTCAATTTTTGTTAACGACAAATAAAATATATTAGTTTGTCCCATTAGAACAACACGCCCAAAAAACAAAGACCAACTGTTGCAACCGGACGATGAAGAAGAATAGAAGCGGCGGGAGCTCATGCTTTTTGTATTTTTTATCAGTCTGAAAAACGAACAGTAAAGGAAAAACTCGCACCGACCGATTTGTCCAGCGTAATTGCCTTCTTATTCCTCGATTTCTCAACACCAACCTCAGATGCTGCTTTTTTTTTTTCAGGTCTCACATCTTATACTTCGGGCACGTACATCGAGCAAAAAATAAAGTGCATTTTCGCTTGAAGTTTGTCCTCATTGTTGGCAGGCTCTCCGAACTATAATTATTTTCAAACTATGAGTTAGTCTGCAGAAAATTATATACCCCTAATATTGTTTTCTCGCTGCCTTCGCAGAAAGTACGCCGTCAGTGAATCCTTGGAGACTCTCTGCTGCGAAGTGGTGGACGCCTACGTGGACTCTCTGAAAGAAGGACCCAATGTAGTGGACTCAAAGGTTCCGTTTGAGTACACGCTCTACAACATCATCGGCATGTCCGTCTACGGAGCAAAGTAATCCGAATTTGTAGACATTAATTAAACACGAGGAAGATACATAGAAAAGGGGGACGGACAACGAAAACTTCCAACTAGTTGGAAGTCTTCGTTGTCCGTCCCCCCCTTCTATGTATCTTCCTCATGTTTACTTACAGTAACCAACACGCTCGTTTTGTACTTAATGTAGACATTACCTCCCTGATTTTGTAGCGCTTAAGTCGAAAGCAAAAGGAAAGAAACCATCAATGGCGAGTTTAGAGCTTGATTCAACATGCCTATAACGGTGGTGAATTGAGGTTTTGTGCACTTTATGGCGCAGGATCTGAAGAGCTCGCGACAACACCCTGTAGATACCGACAGGAATATACACTTACGCCCTCTATGGCATTTCTTTTCAGGTTCGACAAGGAGAGCCCCGAATTGACCAAGCTACAAGCCATTAACAGGGAATTCCTTCGAATTGCACCCAACGGTCTTCCCAGTGACATTGTACCGTGGCTAGGTCTACTTTACAGAAACCGAGAGAGGAAGGTAGAACTTCTTTTCAAGGAATTTATGGAGATAGTCGATACGCTTTACAAGCGGGCTGCGAAATCGTACGTTCCCGGTAAGGTATCTTTCTTTCTCTGTGTTTTTCATTGTATTTTTAAAGCTTGTACGTTAGCGCATCGATTACAAACGAGACTACTTTCGCCCGCGCAAGGTATGGGGACCGCGCATGCGCGGAAACCATATTCGCCTGAAATGAATACTCTGTGCATGCGTTGTGCCAGCAGCAGCCACACCTCTGCGGCGTGACCTCAGATCCGCACATTGGTCTTTGCCACCCTAGGATTAATGCGCAATGAATATGACGGTAACCCCGAGGCTAGGGTTACTTACCATCATGCTCAATGCATACATGTAAATTTCACGTGTTTAAGCGTTTTTATTTTTGTATCATGGCAAAGCTTCTTGTTAAGGTGTACAAGATAAAAATATAGTGTGGCTCGCTCTCGGCCTGTTTTATTTTCCCGCTTTTTTTTTTTTTTTGCTTTAAACAGATTAGTTGGTCTGCACTTCAAAGGAAAGCTGAAACACGTCTTTCAAAGAAACGAAATAGAACTTGATTCTAGCGTAGTTTTGCCCCGTGAATCTGAATATCACGTTCGTTTTTCCCGAAGATGCAACCAAACGTAAACAAAACACGAAAAACCTGTGACCAGACGTGACGTCATAAAAAGATATTTCTGCCGCCAAGCACATGTTGCTTGAGGGCCGCGCATGCGCTAGCAAGCTTGCTAGGTATATATATTCCACCGCACTCGCACGAGTCTTGACGTTTTTGTTTTTTTTCCACTTTTGTTTAAAAAAAATAGCGAGAGTGGGCGTGGCTGTAGCTTTCATAGGCGCTCAAGACGCGCGAGAGCGGAGATTCCGAAAATTCCTTTCGTGACGTCACGCTCTGGGAAGGAGGGACTTCAGCGATACCTTTTTAGATAATTTTATGCAACCTCCTGGCACCAAATTAGAAAAAAAAAATTGATATTTGAGATTCTGGAGCTCAAATGAAGAAGATTTAGGTGCGTTTCCTGAAATACAATACCGATCTAGCTCCCCTTTGAGCTATTTCTTATTTTCAAAAACAAATTAGGCAACCGTACCTAGCTCTTCCTCAAAATACATTTTATTCAGGTCCCAGACATCACCGACATTTTATATATAAGACGCAGTGACACTAATCTGAGCACGCCAAAGCAACAACCGACTTGGCGGAAGTTAAGCTTTGTCAAGTTACAGACTCATGGATTTACAACGTAATAAGTAAGGTGAAAAGGTTCGTGTTTTACTCAGGGCGGCCGAAGTGGAGAATGGTCAATTCTTGCGTGAAGGTGTAACCAAATGTGGCGTTTCTTGTCCTCAGGCAAAATCGACAACTTCACTCACTCCATGTTGGCAGCAAGGGACGAGGCCATTGAGCAAGCGAAAAACGACGCCGAACATCTAACCGAGGCCAATATGGTTCAGATCATAATTGACATCTTTGGTGGTGAGTATAATACCTTTCTGGAGCACACACTTCTGTAAGCATCGTTTTTTTTTTATGTGAGTGACCATAAGTTGCAGTTACAGAACAAACACGCTCATCGTCCGTCCTTGGTGCAGGGCCTGGCGTTCGAACGCTGCACGCCGAACGCCAGACACTGCGCGCGGAGCAGACGACGATCTTCTTCGCTTTGACTGGGGGGAGACGGAGGGTAGAAGCAAAGGCAGCTGACCTTTGCATTTACCCACTAATCCCTCCAATCAGAGCTCGGTGCTCTTAAGTTGCCCAACGCTCTCGTTTCCGCCTGTCCTTTAATTTATTCCCGTATTATGCTTCCGAAGGTGGCAAAGCAACGCATAGCCATAGATAGGGAAAGAGTTTGACGGGCGGGGCCTGCCAGACAGCTGGTCAACTACGTCACTGACACGTTACGCGAACGCCGTAGCCACGCACCAGTTCATCCTTTTCGATCACAACCCGCGTCGGGGCGCTAAACTTGTGTGCTTGACTCTCGGTTCCCTCCAATGTACGACTCTCCTATTTTGTTTTAAAGCGGTACTTACACTGTCTCGTGTTTATTCAGGAACTGCGGTAGGGTCGTTCCCGCTTACCTGGTCAGTCAATGCTCCCTGCGCGCGGCTACACTATCCCGCTCACACGCATCGCGTACGCCTGGTGCGCCACGCAAATTTTAATGTTTTAAGTTTTAGGTCGAGTCTTTTGATTTCTAGCGACAGACGCGAACAACTTCTAGTTCCTAGCTGAGAACATTTCGGTATATTTTTCGGATTGTTGAGCGCTGACATGTGCACAATGCTTTAGAGAATGTCACCGTCACACGAGAACCTCTTGAGTGAACCTGTGTGTCCTAAGAAAATTGTGCTTTACAATGTAAAATTATCTCAACTAATTCGCAGAACGCAAGGGCGCAAGCGGCAAGGGCGCAAGCGATCCAAGCATCCATCATCGTGTCAGTAAATAAAAAAATAACGAGAGGCAAAAATCAACGAAGTTGCTTTTTCATTCGTAAAGATTCATTTATTAAAAGTCATAAATTAAGCATTTAATTAATTCACATTATGGTTTTGAAAGAAAGGCAGGGAAAATAAGCTACGCAGAGCATAGCATATGACGTTCCTGTCTGCCGCTGCAAATAGTCGCAATATGCTCTTAACCAGGGCTGGATCAGCATCATTATTTCATGGGAAATTAGCAAGTTGAAAAGCTTGTGTCGCGAGAACAAAGCTACTAAGCATTAATTTGACACCCGTCCGCGTAAGACAGGAACTTCGAGGACAGCTCTTTTTTATAGATAAACGTTTCATGTCGAAACAAGAATCCTACCCCTAAAAGTCGGAAGCCTGCCGCGGGCAGCCTCTCGATGTTCATCAACTATATACATTTTGAATTTTTTTTTTTCTTTCCGGGTTATACAAAAATGAAGACATTGACGGCCGCGGATGAAACCCTTCAACTGCGGAAGGCGCAACATCTGGCAATTTTCTAAAAATAAATCTAAACAACTGAGGTTCATACACGGAATAACATGTGGCCTGGCATGGTCGCGCCTGGGGAGTGGGATCGGTAATGGCGGACCGGCACGCGTCGTTCGCACGGCGTCCCTCCTTGCTAGTCGGTCGCTATGCGGCTCCTAGGTGGTTCCTAGACGCGATGTCACTCCTGTGGAAAAAGTCAAAGAGGCAACAAGGGGTCACCGGGGACAATGGATGGCCGAACTCTTCCCCCTATCGATGACTCTAAGGCATTGCGGCGACAAGCAGCGGTTTCACAAACACTCGCCAATGAAAAAAAGCAAAATACCAGACATTTCTCGGTAAATAAACAATGCGCAGTGGGATAATATTTGTAGACGTCGTACGTACGTGTTATAAAAATTAACTAATGAATGCAACCTGTGAGCATGTTCAGAAGTCTCACTTTACGATTACGTTGACCTGAGTAGCGTGAAGCATGCCGATGACAATGCGAGCCTTGAACGCCTTGTAATCGCTACAGGCACTCTGTTCGTGACTGCAGTAGATATTGTCTGTTCTTTTGCGATCGGTAGATTTCATGGTGGTCGCGAAAGCTCACTTCGACACCATGCGGCAACCGATGGCTGAAATGACATCCCAAGAAAAAGTTTCTTACCGTGATTGTGCTATAACTAAACTGCTATGACCGCTTTTGATCACCCGAAGACATTTTTTGTGCGGTTTCACAGACATTTCTCTTCGTTTGTCTTTCGTCAGCTGGTACCGGGACTTCAATGGCACAGCTACAGTGGTTATCTCTCATCATGACAAGGAAACCAGAAATAAGAGAAAGGATGATGACGGAAATAGAGACAAACCTGGGTAACTTTTTTTTTTCGGTTTTCTTGAATGTCTCGGTACACGGTGGCACATTACTTTAAGAAAAGCTTATTTCTACGCAAACATCCCTGATGGCGACAATCATTGAAACGGTACTGCAAGACTTTGGCATTCTAGTATCTGTGCCGCCTCTAAAATAAAAAACTCTGCCTGAGAAAAAGAAGGGAGTTGGATATTGATTTATTGATCAAACTGTCATATATGGGATTCACGAGGAACGCAGTGTACGCCAACTCGAGTCTCAGCCTTCCAGGTACGCAACGCCGTGTTTTAGCGTAGCCACGTATTGTTGTTAACATCTCTTTTTATTTCTTTTTTTCGCAAAGTTTTTAAAGTTTTTTAAAGTGTCTTGCAGTTATGTGTCCTACCTTCTCTGATTTATTAGTTTGAAACCTTTGTTTGTTCGTTTCATACTTGCGTTGCGTGGCCGGCGGAGTTCGGGGCGTGGGTGTTTGGCAGCCAGCCGTGGCATGGATCCCCGTGCTAGAAGCCGGGCGTTTCAAAGACATGCCGTGACTTTTCTCCTTTTGTTCGTGCCTTATCTTATCAAACTTATAAAACAGGGCAAGATCGTCCAAGGCTTCAAGACAGAGAAAAATTGCCCTACACGCAAGCTTGCATCATGGAGTCCTTGCGCAGGTTCCCGAACGTTCCGCTCGGCCTGCCACATAACACGACATGCGACACAGAAGTTGGTAAGTGCTGCTTCGTGCTACTTGACTATGACAAATACAGCGGGCCATTTCTCTGGCTCAGATTTTAGGCACACTTTGACGAAATCGGGGCTAAGGAATTTCCCTCGCTCACCCAGAGCCGTTGAGCGCCTCTGCCGTTCGACGTCTCCGTGGAAAACAGCATATAATAATAGAAGATAGAGATTAACGTGCAAACAAATTGTGTGAAAGTAAGAAATCGCACTTCGGCATTGAACAACGCGAATTACTTTTTATTTTCAAATCTCTAAGGACCCTTCATGAAGGTTCGGTAGAATGGCAGCGGAATTGTGACGGTATTGTAGAATATTCTCGATATTTACTAGCCCATCAAATTATGAGACACACATCTAACTGTTCTGTTCGCAAATTTGTCGGTAACCTTTCGGATACTTGCGGACGCTTTTCAGGTGCGATGAAATTAGTATAAATATGCCAAAGAACGAAGTGTTTTTTTTTTATCATAATCAAAATTGGTGAAAGTAGATGTCTGGAACAAAAATGCAAGAAAAACATTTTGTGTATCTAATGCGCACGAAGAAAACAGAAGTACATGGTCAGAGTGACGCTCCTACTCACCTGGCACCAGTCGAACGAGGTCGTCGCTGTGGTTTCAAAACTGTCCAGCTTTAATACGATGAACTTTATGTTTGGATGCCCGAAAGCAGCTCCGATTGCGGGCATTTGTGGGCACAAAACTTACACTCCCGTAACACCCTCACTGTGGGAAACATTGGGACACCCAAAACCCACATTTGCTCGTCAATACAAAAGAGGAACGTGATAGGCGAATAAACAAACAAAAACAATAAAGACACGTGTCCAGAATACTGACCCCAAAAACAAATTCATCACGTTATGGCTCTTTCTTCTTCTTTTGAATTATCAGCGCACATCCAGCGTCACCTCCATGAAAGCATGCCTACCACTTTACAAACTCTCACTTCGTAGAAAAATTTCTCGTCTAAGCTTCTTCGACAAATTTCATCACTCACTCTAACCCAAAACTTCGCCATGCACTATTTTCCGAACCATCTTATATATCATAGCATTATAAACGAACTAAAAGTTAGAATCCCACGTTGTATTACATCCACTTTGAATGTCTTTTTTTTTTTTGGAAACCTTTATAGATCGGAATCGCCTTCCCACGACCATTGTCGCCATAAATGACACTGATCGATAAAGTTTCAATGACAAATGTTTTACTTTATGCCTCGTAATATGTTTTTGGCTTTTCTATTATTTCTAACGCGTTGTATATCAAACCCAGCCCTCTATGTAATGCCCTCGGGCACTAAGAGAAAACTGATTTAAATAAAATTAATAAAATTAACTGAGCCGAATCACAAACGCATTAATTTAGTTGCGGTACATTAGAATGGACAGTGTTATGCCGGCATTAAATTGAAAAGAGCTAAATCATTACGGGGCACACAGCGCTACGAAGAATTCATACACCCGTAGGAAGAAAGTGCTACGCTCCGTTTAATCTTCCGATGGACCGCAGCAGACGCCACGTGCCATCGAAGCCGATTTCATGCATCGCGTCGCGTGACGTCCGGGAGAGACGCGTCAACTCGCGGGGGAATGTAGCCACGCCATACGTTAAAAGCGCAGGATTAATTTCCATGGCACGTGGCGTTCCCTGGAGGCCATCATATATTAAAAGGCACGAAACTTGAAATTATCTACCGATGCCTCATCTGTAAAGTTGACATTTCTTTGCGAATATAATAAAAGTACATCTATCGCGTAATTCTGAGCTGTCTTTTTAATTCACATACGACGACAGGGGGAAAGTTCGTTCCCAAGGACACTGGCATCCTCTACAACATCTACGCCATCAACCACGACCCAAACCTGTGGGATGACCCCGAGGTCTTCAGACCGGAACGGTTCCTGGACCCTGTCACGGGCAAGATCAAACAGGAACTACTGCCGCAGCTGATGACTTTTGGCCTGGGCCCCAGGACGTGTCCCGGCGAGAAGTTGGCGCACGTGGACATGTTTTACGTCTTTGTCCGCTTCATGCAGCGAGTCGACATCAGCGCTCCGGAAGGAAAAGCGGACGCCGCCATAAAGCCAGTCGGTTCCAACCTGTTTCTAATTCCCTGGGAGGAGGACATTGTCTTGACTCGCAGGGACTAGACTCGCAAGAACCACAAGCTGCTCGACGTCTATGTACAGCTTGGAATACTCTACTGCACTAATTGTGTTTTCTACTATCCTGAACGAGCGAAAGACGCGACATTAAAACATTTTATTGAAATCTGGGCTCCTATTTAAACGTCGCAGTCACCAAATTATGAGGTGTCGATTTTCTTGTTAATGCTACTTTCGTATAATCACTGATGGTTCGACAAACGCAAGACGTACGTAGCGCTATGACCACGCTTTTCGCCTCACAATTCGTCCTTCGCCGTTTTTAACGGCTGATGCTGCGTGCTAACTGTCGGCGCAGCCAAAATAACCTGTTCAGAACTCGCTACGGCCTGCGTTTCTCAAGCTATCAATAGCATCAGTAATTTCAGACCTCGTTCTTTGAACTGCATCGATTGACTCCACGACTGCTCTGCTGGACAGCAAGTGCCCAATATTTATATCTATCAACCAAGAAGGTTAACACGATTCACCTTTCACCGATGTATCACGTGACACCTAGCATATGAAGAGCAAAACAAACTCTCGCAATATCTTATGAACATAAAAAAGGAGATAAACTATTTTGCTTTAGCGCGTATACGAGCTGCGCAAAGTGTTTATACCTCTAACGGTATAGGACGACCTTACAAACACCTATGAGTGTACCAAAGCGGAGAAACCCATTCCGAAATTTCTTTTTAAGCAGGCTGTTTCCAAAAAAGTCCAAGTGCCAAGTGCGCCCACACCAGGCTTGGGTGATCGTGAGCGTGAACGGAAACCAGGTTCGCGTGGAGCGCCTGTAAAACGTGCTGCGCAGACAATGCCGAGAGCAAGTTCGTCTGCTTCCTGCGCAGGAGTCCCGACGACGTCAAAACGACGCTGAGCAATGATTGAATTTGATTGAAAGGAAAGTGGGTAGAGCTCAATGCGAGATGTCTTCAGGTCTACCCACAATTTGTTTCAAGCAGCCAATAGAAGCTTGGCGTTCTGGCATAATCGCAACCCCTGGTCAAGAAGCAGACGAACTTGCGTTACGCATAGCACCACCGCCAAGACATGACTCCAGAGCCGCACGTGGGTGAACACAGCTCCGGGCGCATTGTCCGAAACATCTGGCCACGGCCTTTATTCTACGAGGCCGTGGATCGCATTCGTGGGCAAACGCCAATACACGAAGCCCACTTATTCTGCCTGCGCTATCTGCTCCCCTGTGCGGTCGAGGTCATTCCGCGGTCTCTCCTGTCGTATTTGCCGTGGCGCCTTTCGGCCGACACTCAGTCATTGGCCAGAAAGAGTCTTCGGAGTTACGCTGCGCGGCCTACGCTCTGAAACAGTTTGTCGCCGGCACCGGTGAGTACACATTTAGCGCTGGGCGGGGATCAGAAATTGCTTTAAGCTATTATTCTACCCATTACTGATTCGCGCACATTTCGATGCATGATATTTTTAGAAGGTCAAAACTTAAATTTTGTTTTTGCATTTACTGAATATGTGATAAAACGGCGCAGTAACAATTTAGATTATGCATCTAACTTGATATACAGTTGATATAAGTTCGAACACTCTCAAGGATTCTTAATGGAGCTGCATGCGGCAAAGGGGTTCGTTCGTTGATACTCTCCGGCAAGATAGCCTCTACGGTGCAAAACGAACTCTCGCACGGCATTGAATTGGCCGACACGTGTAATTCTCACTTGTCTGGAGAGAAAATCTCGCCCCTACAGTTTACATTGGGTTACAATTGCACCTAAAATGTGCCCTTCATACAGGTATACTGTCCACGTCCGTGTAATGAGGTTGAATAATGTTTTTTTTCTTGTTTTTTTTTTGTCAAATTTTACCGATTAACCGGTCAAAAGAATTAATCGCGATTGAAGCAATAATCAACTAATTGGTAGGTTAATCGTTCACTTGTCCTGCACTAAACATTACTTAGTGACTGGACTCACTGCGAAACCCTGTGTTTGTTTCTGTATATCATCTGTCCAGTTAGGAATCCAACACAAATCCTATGCACAGGTACCCTTAAGCCGGGGTCACACTGTTCATACATCCTACAAACGACAGTCTGCAAACACGAGTCACGGCGATATTCCTGGTTCGAATGCCGTGTGCCAAGTTTCTCCTCGAACGCAGTGCCATTCGGCATTCAAAGCACGAATCTCGATATGGCTCGCGTTCGAATTTGTTTGTAGACGGTCTTTTGTATGATACGCGGCCACGGCTTTAGATGTAGCCGTTTTGCTAGGAATGTTTCGTTATCCTTTGGGACAAAGGTTCTAATCGATCTTGGAACACCTTTCAGTCTCTGACTTCATAAATTGAAAAGCGTCGCCTCTTTTACACTTCCACGCCTGGTTACATTTACAAGATACTGTACAATGGAATCATATTTTATGATTATATCTGCAAACTGTTTACTACACCCAAGCAGCAAAAGATCAGTAAATGACGATTTCAGGAAGGTTTATTTATATCTGCATGGACTCTGATCGTTCATTTTTATTGGGATCTTCGTTAATGTAAATATCTCAATTTTTACGAAACATGAGGGTAAGGACGTCGACAGGGACACCGCTGACCTGAAACTAATTCTAAGTATAAAACGTATGGCAAAACAATTCTTAAATATTGAAATTAATACCCAATCAAAATTGGTACATTTCGAAAGAGCCGAAAACTTTATTGTTTTAGTCCAAAGAAAGCAAGAGGTAACAATCTTGCTTCCGTGTCCCTCCTGAGAGAAACTCGCTCCTTTAAACAGGAATCCTTCGAACGTCATTTTCTGCAAGAATTCGACTTTGAAAGACTGCGCAGAAGCGTATGCTACGAGCCTCGTGGCATTATCTGTGTGCGCTTGATAAGTGCAGAAAGTGTCTGTAATATCTGTGCTGATACACGTGGAGCTCGTATCTGATAACTCTTGTGTATTCTGGCAATATACGCGCTGTTTTGAAGTCTACCTGTGCACCTGCGTTTGGCCACTTCTGATACGGCAATAGTCTGCCCGTGCGAGTGTCCTCTAAGGTAGATTCAACAGGCTGAAGTATGGAGGTAATAGACCAAATTCATGGCGACTGGTTTTGTGCCTAACCATTTTACTTTTAAAATAGGCTTCAAATACCTATCAGGTGCTTGGATTGCTTCCTGTTCTAGCAAACATAAAATGCTACCTCGAAGTGACTGAACTTCGGGACCACTTCTAGCACAGCCTACAAGCTTCGGTTGTGCTTGGCGAAGTTCAAACAAACACATCTAAGTAGGGCGCACAACCTCGCAGTGCCCTACTCCGATGTGTTTAAACCTCAACAAGCACGACCCAAGCTTGGAAGCTCCACCGGTAGGGGGCTCGAAGTTCCGTCACTGTTCGCATTTCATTCGAACCTGACGGTACATACGTCGTTGCCATATCTTAATTTTATATATCCCAGGACGGAAAAACACTCAGGAATTGTTACGGCTGCCTGAAGAAAAAAGTCTATTTCTCTCTCTCTCTCTTTATATATGTATATATATATATATATATATACGATGCCTTATACAAAGAACTATAATAATCAAAGAGCTTTTACAATGGAATAAAATGGAACCTATTTGATAAATGACGTTTTATGCCAAACTCCTATTTATGTTCTAGGTGCAGCTCTTCTTCACAAGAACAGTTCGCATTTTATTGCTTTGTTGACGTGCCTATATATTTTAGTGCTTCCCTTAATCATTTATTTTGATGTCAAAAGTATTTAATTACTAAACAACAACGAAGAAAGTATTTGGTGCTGCTCTGTTATATTTAAAAAATAAGAGCCGCACAATATAGTTCATTAGGATAATATTAAAAACACCCGAATTTCGATAAAAAAACATGCTGGATCAGATTCATTTTAGACATATTTTAAATAACGTCTTTCTCTTTTTCCGCTCTCCAGTTATCATCATCATGCATAACGCATTTCAATAATGACTTTACTCATGATGTACAGCCAGTTATTTTGACAAGCAGGGTCCTGTATTTTAAGAAAACAAAATGCATCGTAAGCCACTATCTTTTACAAATGCTACATAACACGGTTTATACATTTTTTGCTCTCATCTTATCAATAGCATTCTCATAGACACATTGTGCCCCTAAAATAATTATTTTATAGTATTTTCAATGTAGTTCTTCGCTGCGAAAAAAAGGTGCACTCAAAGGAATGATATATGTCCCTTTTAAAACTAACTCCCTGTCTATAATGTTCATGCGAAGTTGTTTTCTCACCCTTCTGCGGGAGTTTTTAAGAACCAAATTCCTCTGTCATATTTTTTCATAACCTATGATAGGAAGATACGAGCCTTTTTAAGCACCGTATCCTCCAGAAAATAATTAAATCGTTCGTTGAACATGCTTTAATTTATATTTTGTAATTATGTTCATTAAATATATATTTAACATGGATTTGTCATTTATTCCTGGTCGATATCTACATATTTTCTTTTGGACAGCATGATCCTATGAAATAATGTCTATTCATGGTCCTAGCGCTGAAATAGAATTCGTTTTCAAATTCGGCGATGCATACGCACCACTATCTGCCATCCCGGAAGTTGATTGTCGTCACCCGTTTTGTCGGAGACAACACCTCACTCTCCCTCCTCCCGCTTAGTTTCTTGGCATACAACATCTTTTGGATTTTCTGAAGAGCCCATTTCTAAAAACCTTCCCTTCATCATTCTTTCGCAGGTGATCAGACCAACATCATGAGCTTTATGTCGGAAAAAGTGCTACTGTTTTGGGATTGGCGGTGGTTGACGACAGCCGTAGTGTTCCTGCTGTCTTATGTCGTGGTGCGATTCTACCACAAAGTGTTCAAGTACCCGAAAGGCCCCTTCCCACTGCCTATTGTGGGAAATCTACTGAGTGAGTACCTTAACCCGTAGTTCAACGAAAAGCTGATCCCCACAGAAATGTAGGATTTCATGGCGCTGAAACGTACTTACTTCAAAAACTATAAAAAGGTTCCATAGATTTCTTTACAATTTTAAATCCTCAGTGGCAACGGTTCCTCTAATTAATGTGCAGCTGGCATGCGTCCCTTTCCTATTGAGTAAATGTGTTCTATACGCAAATAAACCAAAAACAATAAAAAGTGTCTTCGTATCCTTCTCTTTTGCATAGAATGAATCGACTTAACTATTAAAACTAATTGAATATTCTACAGCTTAGCTACAGCTTGTGGTGTTGAAACCTGTACATGGTGCTTAGTTTAGAGAAGTATTCAGTCACTCATTTATTTGTGATTTTGTATCATACAAAATATTGTAGACATTATTAGAGGTACAAATAGGCAGAGTGATATGTCGAGCCACTGCTGCGTAATATTACGAACAAAATTTTATTATGGAGGAAAAAGGTTAAAGGTCACATATTCCATCTTGCGCCAACAAATATTAGCGCTACTTGAGATGTTTTTTTGTTTATTTTTGTGCTTTGGTGTAGGTGGCCTTAATTTAAATTACTTTTTTTTTTGTTTAAAACTTCCTTAAAGTGGTAGTTTTGAGAATGCTGCACGTGATTTGAGTGGTCTTAATTATATGAACGCGCAGTGAGTCACAAACAGTTCAAATTATCATTGGTCCTGTAGCGCACCCTTTTTCTCGTCAGAATAATACTTTATCAACAGACCTTGCCTAATATGTTTTTACAAACTTGTTCTCAGTATATTTTTTACTTAGTGAATCTCGGTTGTGTTGACGAAACATGACGGGTATTTGTAGTGGCATAAACCTTCTCTAACTTTGTAAATATTTCAAGGTTGAACTGTGCATTGCATATTCAATTGCTTCCTAAGAAAATGTAAAACAAGCAATATTGGTACGTTTCAATATTAGTGTTATGGTATCACATCGTCATTGCGTCAGGCTTCATGTCGTAGTCAGGTCAAGCTCACACTGCACTCCGGAGATGAGATCGGTCACTTTCACTTTAAAGGTACGGTCGAGTAATAAACAAATCGGCTCTTACAAATTATGTTGGTATGATTGACAAACGCGTGATATCCAATACCACTATCTCGTTCTAATAATCTTTTTTTTCAAATTTCCATTGAAATAGTTGTATTTCACTATATTGACTAAAATAAATAAACTATAATTATAGGATTACGGCCGGGTGACAACACTTATTTCCTAAGTCAATAGTGCCACCTAGCGCACGTTTGGTCGCGAGCTTCCATGGAACGGGCAGACTTGGCGTAGCTCCGAAGTTGACCAATACGTTCCCGTTAAACATCTGGAAAGTAGACACTCGCCATTGCTTCGAAATATTGCAAGCGCCGTACAGGACTATGCTTGACTTCATGTTGCTCACTCTCGTCCTAAATATCGTGTGTTCCCGGCCGTAGCTCTCCGCAACATTAATGAGCTTTACGAGGCGACCGAAGCTTGGGCCCGGAAATACGGGGATCCGATCACGCTGTGGATGGGGGAGAAGCCGATGGTTGTGCTCAACACACAAACACTGGTGAAAGAAGCGTTCATCGAAAAGAGGCACGATTTCGCTGGGCGTCTGCCCACCAAAATGGGTAAGAGTGGTTTGTTTTCGTTCTCGTCACCATTAAAAACAACGTTAATTCGTTCCGTTGTCAGGCGTACAGTGTACAGAGTGCGTATCATTAGGGTTCTGTGTTATCGTAATTTATTTTTTCTTTATGTTGGCGGGGAGAAGAGACGGAAGGAGAGGGGCTTATATTTTCCCGGAAATTCGGTGTTTCTCAGTATCGAATTCCGGTGTCGGACGAAAAATTAACGTTTATCGGAACTTACGTTAAAGGAAGCAGGACACGGATGTTTGACTCGCCGACCTCCAAAGAAGATGCGTATCAGCCGAGCGCGTGTAAATCATTCCGGCACCAACAGGAGAAGGATACGCGATAAGGCAGTCCAGAAAGTTAGGATACAGTATACTATACGGCATGCAAGCTCGTCTGCTCATTGCAGACATCGTGCGTTCGCTTAGCCCCAAATGCGCCCACTTGTTTTGTTTACCCCCACCTCAACCAGTGACGGTGCACGCTTGGTTGTCTCGTCATTGACCGTTCCCTGCGCGTTCTTTGTGACGCTTTTTGATTGGCGTGCCTCTCGGTGTGTTACGACGCGCGAAAGACGCGTTTTCGAACAATTCCTCACCGTATCGTCGCCGACACGATGAGAAACGCGTGGCGTGGCTTAAATTCGCGCTTCTCGTTTTGCCATTCTTCTTTCGGCATTTCCATTGGCTGAATCCGTAATCTTATTCACTGTCGCGCTATATTCAGATGCTCATGACTCGCTACGACCCACGTTTCTCAAGCTGCCAATGACTATGAGGAGGGCAAGTTCATCAGCTTTTTGCACAGAGGTTGCGATGTCAGACCGCCGACCTCTTATTGGCTTATCGAAAATCAATAGTGGGTAGACCCGAAGGAACTAAGCATTGAGGTTCGCCCACTTTCCTTTCAATCAAATCGAATAAGAGTCCGGCATCGTTCCGACGTAACCACAACTAATACGCAAGTAGCAGACGTCTTTCTTTCCGCATTAACGCGTGCGTGACGGAGTTGGCAACGCGGGCGGCTGCCACAAGGAGTAGCGGAGTTCGAACGTTGCTCGGCCCGATTCTTCTATTCCGTTAATTAATATATACTCTTCGGAACATTCCGTGCCCATTTTCGGCTTTCATCTTGTCGTCTGGTTCGGAAGAGTCCTGAACGTATGCCGCGTGCGTATAAGCAGCAGTGACGCGCTACTTCGTTTCAGTCGCCCTTCCGTCGCCGAACAAGGGTGCCTGGTATCTTTCTCCTTACGTATGGAGGCCTCAATGCAACTTTCAGTTGTAAATTTGTCGTCTACTATTTTATTTATGTGACTTTATAGCGGCTTTGTTCCTGGTCATCATAGTTCCCGGAATGATGCCACGGTCACCAAGGCAACAAATTAACATTTAAAAACTACGATTTCGCAGTTAGTAGAGTTCTAAGAGATGTCAATAACTATGTCTAGTGTGAACTCTGGAGATTCATGTTTCACGACTCTTATTTTAGCTGTTTACAATTTTCTGCACGCTGCTTAGTGACGTCTAATCCCCTGCTATTCCTCTGTTTTTAGACTGCTTAAAAATTGACAAAATTGTCATCTTTTAGCAGTACCTTATGCGTAGTAGGATGTCACACAAAGTTTTGCAAGGGCGTCACACAAGCTACTAAAGACTAATTCCTTGTCCATATCGTAACTATCCCTGATTTTTACTGTGTACTAATAGACTTCTTGCTTGATCTCCATAATCCGTTTGGTTTTGCAACCGCCTGAAGTATGGGAGTCTTAAAATGTGTGCGCTAGTTTACGTCAACATCATAGCGAGGAAACATGAAAGTTGGGAGCAATGTTCAAATAGTACATTTTTATTCTCAAGGTGAACTCCAGACGCTAGGTAACCACGACATCATCTTCGAGGATTATAACCCAAGATGGAAAGCGCTGAGGAAGGTGGCGCTGACTGCAGTACGGTATGCTAATTAAGTGATTGTACTTGTTAGCCTTGTCATGTATTAGATCAGGTTCTAAATATTCTTTAACGTAGCGGAACAACTAAGATGAGGTTTATCAAGCTTATGCTGGGCAGGAAGGGTTGGCTCTCCTGAATGTTGTTGCTAAGGGTCAAGAAGAATATATTACCAAATATTTATCAGCATGACGATTCGAAACAAACTATGAAGGTAATCACATGAGGTCAGGAGCATCTAAAAAAACTAATGAATTTTTTAACATGGCAGTTGACTTTTCGCAAAGACATTTAGATTGTGAATAAGGAATATATCCTTATAATTTGAAGTCATGGCAATGGAAGGCCTCACTGGCTACCATAGTGATAATGGTACAATACACAATGCCTTGTTGAATATTCTGTTGAAATAGTAATAAAATAAATTGTAAGCTTGCTATCGAAAACTGTACACATAATACGTTAAATATTAATAAATACCGTCAAGGTTTTACCCATCTGCTTTGTCTAGCACAATGCCATGACCAATAAATCAAGTCACTCATCACTTTTAGGAGGAATTGGCTAATCAAAACTATTTTCAGCGGGCCGCCTATCCCAGAATGAAAGGTTTCCACAGTCCTATTGCCATTGTATCTCCCCGCTTTTGGAGAGGCCGATTTGCATAACACAAGTGCAATTCGCAAATATTTTAGTTTATGTATTGATATTTACTCAGGCATAGCGAAAAATGCTTTTTTTTACAATGTTACAAACAAGCATGGCACATCGCGTTTACTTTATATACGCCCCGCAAGTGGGGTCATTTTCGTCTTCTGCGCATGAGAGAAGAAAGTAGCGGTGACGTCAGAACGCCGAGCCCTGATTGGCTGATGTTGACCCCCTATCTCAGCGTCGTCTGCTCCTTTGCAACGTCGTCTGCTCGCAACATCGTCTGCGTCTGTCTTACCTTTCCTGCGACTTTCGGAAGTGCAGGCCTTTACGAGCGAGCTCGACTTCGCCTTTCAGAGAGGACAGACGAAATAACTCGAGCGGTACGTTGTTTTTGTCTAACAACTAGCAGACGCGCATCGGAGGGAAGTCAAAGGACTCACTGGCGAGGTGTCCCGAGGCGCCGAGGTTTGTTTGCTGAGAACGGAGAGAGAGCGTGTTAGTGTCCGCAAGTTCTCTCCCAAATACTTTTTCCCTCCTTTCGTGTGCGGAGAGACCCCTCATTCTTTAACGGCGTCGGCGGGTTGGCGCAGTTAACGTCGTCTGCTTTACGTCTGCTAGTCAAACCGATGGCTGCTTTACCTTCCCTGCGTCTGTCGGAGATTCACCGCTTTTTCACCGGCGAGAGTCACCGTTGCCTCGGGAAACAAGGAGATAACAAGAGGAAGAAATTGACCTCTTAATCTAAAACTGAGGTCAGCGATCAAAGTATAATACGGGAAGGGTTTACAAGGGTCGCGCGGGCATATTCCATTCAGCACGCCAGCCGGTCGTGGACAGACGGTCGCCGAGTAGCGGAGTGCCTGCTAGGCCTAACTGCCTTGCTCGCTTGGTCGCGTTCGGTGGAATCGTAGCCACTGGAGCTTTTCCCGGGTGTTTGTGGATCCAGCGTTCTCGTTCGTCGTGGTCTGTTTCAAGCAGGGTGTCGAACCGAAACTGAACCGAACCGAAAACCGGAACCGAACCGTTATTTTGAGCCGAACCGGAACTGAACCGAACCGAAATCTTTGCCGCCATTTTGGAACTGAACCGGAACTGAACCGTAAAAAAATATAACGGTAACCGGTTCAAAACGGTTCACGGTATTTTTTTTTGTTAGTATTACAAATTTAATATTTGGGAATAAAAAATTGGCACATGCATTCTTCTACGTTTTGATGAAATCGTCATATACAGAATTGCAATGTATAAAATCCTGGGTTTTTGCGGCGCTTTCTTATTGGCACTATGAGCCATGTGTCACGTCGTCACGTGACGTCATGATGTCAAGACATGCTGTCAAGTAATGTCACATCACGTGACCCCGTGACGTCACGTGACTCACCGCGTTAAGTCGATTGAAATTGAGGACGTCGCTAGATCTATTAACGTTGTTGATACCGTGACGTCACATGACATCACAACTTCGCACTGAGAGTCACGTGACACCATTATGTACCCGATTGTCATAATCCCGAGTCGAATTCTCTGGTTCATGACAACCAGCATCGCCAAACATTCGGATAACGGCTCGTGTTCAACTCAAAGATCATAATGGGCCCGAGTCCCACTAGAGCTAGAAACAGAAACAAACGACAGCGACAACCTCAGACACATGCAGCATGCTCGCGATGGTATCTTTATACGGCTTTGAGTTGTTCGGTGCTCGTGAAGTTAGCACGTGTGTTTACAAGCCTGCAAATGGTACGCTCGTGTGCATGATGCTCGTGTTTGAGCATAGCCTTACTTTATTCTACAAAGGCTGTCAAATTGCCAAAGACTCTGGTTTGAGGCTTTCCGCTGTCATTTGTTTCTCTTTGTCGCTTTAGTGGGGCTCGGGCATTATAGCCCAACTAAAACTATGTCTGAAGATCAGCCCATGCTCTATGCTTTGCCAACCCTGCGTATGACTATGATAAACACTGACGGTGTATATATTAGCATCAAATCACGTGGCTGATAGTTCTAATTGCGAGTTGAGGAGGGAAAGCTGTTTCATTTCTTTCTTTTGACTGCGTCTCCCATTTCGCGGAGAGGCAAACTAATGGATGTTTTTGCAAGTTATCAACGTCAAGGATTACATCTTAGCGGTATCTACTGAACTTGGGGTGAAAAAAATGCTGTAGAACCCATTTTACATGTATACCCACCATTGAGGCTCCCAAACATGTTTTCGTTGTTGCTGAACTGCCTCAGAAAGTTGTCCCGAGAATAGAAGTGTTGAAAGGTCTAAATGTGACATATTAGTCCGACGTTACATAGAACTATTAGTGTGTACAGGAGGGATACTTGAAAAGAAAGATCCTAGTGGCCTCAGGGGGATAGCCGAACTAAGTCTCACAGGAGTGTCGTTCTCAAGTTCTCCAAGATTCGACCGCCCTGTATTTTGTTTAAACTTCACAGTTTGGTGCAAAGTAAAAGCAAGGAAGTATTACTGTTAACAAGTGACACAAATATAATTGTAGAATGAACACCACTCAATACGGAGCAGGCAATCCCTGAGGAATAAAAAGTATCTTGAGGAGCAACTAAAAAAGAAAAAGGAGTGGGGAGGGGGGGGGGGGGGTAGTTTTAAAGCATACTGTGTCGTAAAGGTTCCTCTGCCCCGCATTTTCGGCGCAGACCAGAAAGCGTGGCCTGGAAGCGATAGTGATAGATGGGTAGTTGGTACAACTTTTATTTGTAAAAACACTTTTGCCAGAAAGCACGTTGTCGTCGCGCCAGATACTCGCGCCGTGCCTAACGGCGATGCACCAACAAGAAAAATGTGTGCCTCTCAAATACATAGCTTGCATTCAGCGCGAACCTTTTGCAGCGTGCATTTTGCCCCACCGGATTTGATTTTCTAAGCAAGAACAACTCGCAAGGACCACCAGCATTTAGTGCGATTACGTCACGTGCAAACCATGTTAAACACTTCAGCTTTCCGGTGAAGTGCGACGTTCACAACACTAGCAGTAAACGTCCAAGGTGTAAAGTTGCGTAGTATTTATAGCAGTCTCGCGATGATATACGGCAGCCTAGTGAAATCTTAGACCACATGACTGATAAAGAACAGAGTCGTGAAGTAAGGTCCCAAAACAAGTGCACGTAAAACGTACGATAATATTAGCCTCCCGAGGCAGTATCTCGCGACGTTTCGAGCTGAGGTAAGCTGATGCCCAAAAGCGATTTATATTAGGATTCTATGAATCTTCGTTTGCCCTGCGCGCAATTTATGTTTAATTAGGAATATCATTTTATGCATTTCTATGCATCTCTTTTTGCAGTAAACCGTTGTGTAAGGAATTATTTAGAAAAATTACCTGTCATCTTCTTATTTCTGCACATTTCGTGTATTTGCCTTTTGATATATCATGTGACCACAGTCTTTTTTGGCATACCCTGCAACCCAGTATTTTCAGGGCCGGCCTTAGAGCAGCAAGCGCCCTAGGCAAACTGCAGACGTGGCGCCCCCCCCCCCCCCTTCACTATTTTCGCACCCAACACCACGTTGTTTGCAAACATGCCAGAGTGACCCAGCGCGAATGGTCGCGATTTTGTCGTTGTCAGTCGAAAACCACATCCTAAAAACGAACGACGTTCGCAAGCATTGAGAGTTTGTCGGCACCGGGTTCAAAGGTTTAAGGATCAATTATTTCTTAGAATAACCAAACTTCAGCTGTGGGTCTCTCATAGGAAGCTAACCTCTGATGGACAGAGAAAACAAAACCACAAGTTAACCATGTCAAATACCCTAGAAGGCAACCTTCCGAGCCTTCAACATCGCAAATTGGTCTACGTCTTGCGTCATATCCTGGCTAGGCGCTATCCTGTTTTCAATGGACAAAATTGCCAATGACGATATGCTGCCATCTGCCAGGGCTGATCTTAGGTATGCCTTAATTAGCTTTAATTTAAAAAAAAACTACTCTCAGCGGTGGCCACTGACACTGGTAAAGTGAGGAGGATCCTCAGTGACACCCACGTATACGGAAATTTGTCACATAGATGGTTGTCCAGAATGAACTGGAGGACGTCCTGGCGAGCCCTGCATCCAGTGGGAAGCAGGCTGCATAGTTAGATCAGCTCCTCGCAGAGATCTGTACCGTGGATACCTGCACTTTCTATGTGTCTCAGACTCTCAGTGGATGGTCAAGGCCTTTGCAAAGTTTAAGAAGTCCTGCTTTATCGGGAAGTCGGGTGAGGCCGTAAAGGAACCCCCAGAAGCTCACGTGCTGCTCCATCTGCGTGAAGCGTTCTTCAATCGAAATCTTACGGTGTCAATCATCTCGTAGAAGAACTCTCGCTTGAATTTTGTCTCAATATCATTAA